GCATACCTATAGATCCACGTATTTTTAGATCCAAATACCGATAGATCCATTACAGGTACACTATTGCTCGAAATGGTTGGTATACTACTCAGTACATAAAATGCACTTCTTTAAAACGGCAGTACGCAGTCAGCAATATATTATTCTACTAGATCGTTTTCACACAATACTCAGTGAAAGAACATAAAAAGAACAAAAGTGTGTTCTATATTTCACAACGCTTAATTACTGTTCTAGCGTCAGAACACTGTTTAAAGTGTTCTCAAAATGTAACATTCGAACATGTAAAAAGTGTTCTGAATTTACATGTAAATGTGTTCTAAACAAAACAAAACAAAAAAGAACATAAAAATGTGTTCTAAATTTCACAACGCAAGTTGATATGGGCCTTTTAGCCGATTACGATGTCAGATAGATGGATCTAGCGGTACCTGGATCTAAAGATACGTGGGTTTATAGGAATCTGTTGGTGGATCTATCGGAACGTAAATTTAACGAGACGTAAATCTATTGAGACGTGTATGTATAGAGACGTATCTATCGGGGCGAATATTTTATTGGGACGTTTATCTATATGGCGGACCCCACAATGCCAGTGCAACATCTTAATAGTTCAAAGTAAAGAAGGCAACAATCTCTTATAACAAAATAATAAAAATGTTAGTCAAAAAAAAAAATTCTTTAATCAATTTCATACTCAACAGCAGACTAACGACATCCACTCTCTGAAGAATGTTTGAGATACGTAAGTAAATCTTATTAGCAGCAAATTATACATTGAGAGGAGTTAATCTTTAAATAAATCTATGAAAACTACTGTAAAATAAATAATGCCTCATTGACAGATAACAATGCTGCAAACCAACACTATCAGCAGACTGAGGCCTACACATATTGATCCTGTGTTTTAAAAACTGAAAGTTTGAGGTAAAATTCATAAGACTTATAAAAGTGAATATCTCCATGGCCCACATCACAATGAAATGACATGACACAATTATGATACCCCTGGCAATAATTTAAAATCTGTTCAAGATACAACCACATAGTGATTGTTGACAGTACTGCAGATATATGAATTATGTTTCTATCTATTTAATAATTTCTTACAGTGTTTACAATTATTTCTTAATATCTTGTCAAGTTTAATGCATGAGCTTGAAGTTCAATGTGATCTCGATCAGTACAGTAAAACAGAAACTGCTTCACGTATAACAACTTCTTACAGACAAAACTATATAGCTTAAAGTACAATTATGAAATCCCTTAGTCACTGCATTTAAAATGCTGCAGCATTCAGGCCAGCAACCCACAGGCTGACAAGAACTGAAGAATACCAACCCTACTTGGGATGGGGGGATAATAGGTATTCCCTGGGGTAATTTCAGACAATGTGGTTTTATTGCCTCAACTTACAGTTGTTTCTAATAGTACAGTCACAAGAGTTGTGAATGATTCAGTGATGATTGAAATAGCAATTACCTATATATATATATATATATATAGATATTATCATTAAGTTTGATCTGGCATCACATCTTTATAATATTTACTAAAATTCTTGAAAAAAGTTTTTTTCAAACTTAATTCTTTATCTATTTGTGTATTGCACTTAATTGGCACCAGCTTGCACTGGCATGACTATAGAATACCAGTATATAATGATTTGCAATAACTAGTTTGATCAAGTAGTTAGCTTGGATTGGTCTTCATGTTAGCATAATAGGTATACACAGGAGTAAACTCCACATCTCCAGTTGTGTGTTCATTGTCTTCATCATCCCTGATATTTACTTTGCCAAATACACATTCAGCATAAGATGGAGGTGCTAAAAAATGAAATGAAAAAAAAATTAATGCATTCAAATAAAACAGATATTTGACAAAATGATACTGAAAATTATGTACAATAATCAACAACAACAAAAAAAAAAAAAACCTCAGGACATATATAAACTATGCTGACTCAGGACAAATTTGTTGATAATTAAGATGTATTGTTGTAATAAAAAATAACTGCATTAGCATGAAATTCGCTGGGATTAGCTAAGCCCTTGTGTGTGTTTAGTGGGCAGCTACAAGAAATCCTTTTCTTTTTGCTTTCTCTAACACATGATTTTATAATAATTTGAGTAAAAAACTTTCATTTTGGCTTTGATGCCTGCCCTAGTGTTGATCTTTCATCACTCCATGTGTGTTACCCCATTTCCATAGACACCATAAGTCTCCTTGGATTGACCCTAATTTGAGTAAAAAACTTTCATTTTGGCTTTGATGCCTGCCCTGGTGTTGATACATCATCACTCCATGTGTGTTACCCCATCCCCATAGACACCATTAAGTCTACTTGGATTGACCCAACTCTGCGGGGCCTCTCATTGAGTGCAATCAGCTTAAATGAATGACATGTTTCCTCTTGGTTTCAATTTAATGTACTCATATAATCACCAGCTTTATATTCTACTTTACACCATGATCGAAGAGGCACGTTTAGTAATATGTTAAACTGATTGCATTCAGGAATTAAGAGTCCCAGTGAAGTTGGGTTGATCCATGGAGACCTGATGGAAATGTTGCTTAGGTGGCAATGCAAGCAGAGGCTGAACAGAAATTAATCTCACCCTGGTTAGGATAATCCTCCACAGGTGGGGCACTTGCTGCAGCCTGGTCCAGCAATGGAGCAGTTGGTTTACTACTTGACTGAAAGGTGCCATACGTATAGTCGGCTGATGACATTCGCAGAGGAATAGTACCAATAGTGACAGAAAGTGGAACTTTCAGACTAAATGATGGACCAGATGGAGTAACTATAAGCTGTAAAAACATAATATTATATACAGCATTTACACTTTCATTCATTCTAATGGATCAGTTTCAATATTTTCAGAACACCTAAATCTGACCAAGATTTTTCAAAATTAATTATCAAATTAAAAACATTGTTATTTGTCATGTTTGTTAAAATACTTCAATTATATTTCTGTTGTGGGTGCTGATTATGAACGTCTCTCAGTGCAAATGAAAATACTTTTCTGAAATGCCATGCTGGATATAGTTGATATATGGACCTTTAAAATTTTTTATGACATGATAAATATGATTTTGAATTCTAAAAAGGTACCTTGAGCTGATATGTTATTTGTATGATTCTGCACAGCTCTGTTTCTGTTGGTGGGACCGGAGGAATTCTTAGCCATACATTGTCAAACTCTTCACTTTTGGTAGCAGCTATAGATCCAAGAGACATGCTTGCAACATTGCGCATGGAATGTCTGCTTGATCCTTCCGCATAAAAGGAAACATGCTAAAAAGACATACATACAAAGATTACTGTAAAAAAAAAAAAAAACAAAAAAAAAAAAAAAAACAAAACAAATAAAATAAAAAATAAATAAACACATAAAATAAAAATAAAGATAAATAAATAAAATACAAAGTTTTCAAGGAAACCAAAGCAAGAATTTTTACATAGATTGCACAATTTACCAGCCCACTTACCTGGTTTAATTCAACGTTTACAGCAGTCAAGTCAGAGTTACTTTTATTGGTGATCTCAATGCGAAATGGGATGCTCTCTCCTGGTACAAATCCAGTTCTTGACAGAGACATCTTGGCCTCAATTGGACCCGAGGCACAACAAAGACAGCACAGAGTCTTAGAATCAGCTACTCCCATGGGTGTCTAAAAGATACAATATATTTATACAAGTATCATTGTAACTATGGCAGTTTCAGATCAAGTCAATCCACGGACTAACAGATCTGAGGAACAAATATGGCTGACCCACTTAAAAGCAATGCAGCCTAATCCCCTAATGGACTCCCCACCTCACACACACTCCATCCCTGCAGGGGCCTAGCAATTAAATCTCAGAGCCATTTTAATTTAGCTTTAATTGCAAGACCCCTGCAGGAATGTCGCATGTGATAGGCAGGGAGACCATAAGGAGATTATTCAGCATTGCTTTCAAGTGGGGTTAGCCATATTTGATCAGAGGACTAGTTACGAATTGTGAGCGTGGCCTATATAATAGTGTTAAAGAATAGAAGATTCTAACACAGAAAAATTGTACATTAAAATTCATTTTAAGAAGAAAAATTATCATCATAACTGAAAGGATGATAACGTTTAAAAACTGTTTACTATCATTTTCTGATGCGATTCATCAACATACCATCAAGTGAGGCTTTGTGTTCAGATCTTTTACACTAAGAATATTCACACCCCTCTTGGTGTGATAATCAAACCACCATGGTCGGTCTATGGTGGCTCTGGCTATGTAGCGAATATTTCCGAACTCCCCTTCAAATGATGTAGGTAGATATGGGGGTAGATCAAACCTGAATGGGTATGTTTTTGTGCCCGGGGGAAGGTAGAATGCCTCATTGGACTGAGCTTTAAAATAAAGATATCACATTATTATGAAAGTACTACTCAATATCAAGTTTGATTCAATGCAAAATTTTAAGTGATTGATTAATTGTCTTTTTTAAAATATTTATTAAAATAAATAAACTTGACAACAAAGATTGTTCATATAAGCATGTTGTGAGTTTTCTCTTTATCCCAAAAATAATATTGAATAGGCCGGATTATTCATGTCCATTTAAGCTTAATTCCGTCTTCTAGCAAAATTACTGCATGTACTAGTAAGTGAAAATAAAAGGTATCCTATTGTAAAAATATTATAACTTAATTAGAATTAACATGCTGTAGGTCATATGGGTGATATTTAAAAGTATTTTTGAAGAGCTGCATGGGTGTGATTTAAGTAATTCATTTCCATCTAAATCTGGAGAGTAAACTTAATTATAATTAGGAGAAAGAATCCTTAACTAAATTTTAATTGCAATGAAAGCATGATTATTACTTTACATTTTCTTCATTTAGTAACAATACTCACAGTGTCCATACAAAATAACTTTAGTTTCAAAATATTTCTGATGTGAAGAATAGTGTACAGTGTATGTCCGAGTCCGCCTATTGCCACTGCCATCAGTATAGCTCTCAGTTCTCGTTTCAGTCCAATGGACATAAGCTCTTCCTTCAAACTTTATTCTAACTCCTGCAAAACATTAAGTATCCTTAGTAAAAACAGAGACAAGTGTAAAGCCAACTATTAGAAATAAATAATTTATACATTTTCCATACTTCAAAGAAGATGAAAGTTCAATGTGTTTTGACTTCTTCAACTTGGATTCTTACACACATCTGTTCATAAAACTGATTAAGATGTTTACCTGTGTGTTATGTGTGTGTTATGTGTGTCATCTCACACACTTGAGAATGTACATTAGCTTTAACAACTACTTGTATATTGTGCAGCTATTGGTAAAACCAAAACAAGTATATGTAACCATTTTCACTATATAACAAAACATAAAATATGACTAATATTTTACCTCTTGTTTTTAGTTCCTCATCAATGTCTAAAAGCACATGGCCAGTAATTGTTGCACCAGCCTGATACACAGCCTGAGGGTTGTCAAACAAAACTGCAAACACTTTTAACCCCATGACTTAATCAGTGGCTTAATACACACTTACACTTCCTGAATAAACTGGGTCATTCCAGCATATACTGAAGCTACAAGGTAGAATTAAGCTACCAGTATGAACAAAAATACCATACCCCAATACAAATGATGCCATAATAGTCACATGCTACTTACTACATGCAAACAAAGATAGAAAATAGTGGCAATTTATTTGCATAACCTCTTTATATCAGATTAACAATACAGTATCTTTCTGATTATATTTGTACTTCTGACCTAAGCAGATTAATAAAAACTAGAAAAGAACTCAGAGAGCGCAGACCTCCGCCAAGGCAGCAAAGTCTCCATCCAATGCAGATTCACCCCTAAATTTTTGATATTTTGGATTATTGATTGATTATTGATCTGGATCACCACCAAAAACTAATCATCCGTTCCTTGGCCCACTTCTGGTAGTTCCTGAAAATTTCATCAAAATCGGTCCATAACTTTTTGAGTTATGTTGATGACAGACAGACAGACAAACAAACAGAGGTGAAAACATAACCTCCTTGGTGGTAGTAATTATTCCATATGCTGACCAATATAAATAGGTCAAGTAGGCCAAAATCACAAACAAACTCTGTATGTGTTTACAATGCTTAACAATGGTGAATCAGAAGAGATACCTGGTGCCAACTTTTCCTGGTGCCAACTTTTCACTTGCACAAAAAAATAAATAAATAAAATAAAATAAATATATAAATATAAAATAATAATAATTATGATAATAAAGTTTTTAAAAAGTCAAATTTGCCAGGCACTTTATCATTTCAGCACTCTAGACAAAATTGTACACATCATTTGATATTTGCCAAGCTTGTTTTTGCCTTGATTTGATGGGCCTTTCAATGCACATTAAAATTGGCTGAATCTGGGCAGAAGCTCAGCACTTTTGCTACGTTTCATGGGCACATTTGGGAGAAAAATGCCAATATATGTAGTAACTCAGTTCACATATTATTTTAAGTTTATTGTGTGTGAAAGTGACAAAATGTCACGGTCATCAATGAACTCGCCATGCTCCCGTCTTGGGAGCTCAACCCCCTTGAAACATCATTCATACAACTGATACAAGGCAATAGGTAGAAACCACAAAGCAGCAGCAAAAAGGATGCCAGTTTAAAGACATGTTCTGTGACCCAGTCATGATTCAAATAAACAAAATTGAGAACATTTTCTGATATATGTACTCAATTTGATAAAAAGTGAACACAGCTGTTGAGTTTGGGGTGTAAAATTGAAGACTGATTGACAATTTGAAATACATTGTTATATTTTATTGTGCGAACAGTTCACCCTGTATAGTAGTAAACATGCTAAAGTGAAGGACTTGCATACCCAGTTATATAATGTTAACAAAGAAAGTCTGTCAGATCATTTTTATGTGTGTATATACACACACTAACAACAATACACAGCCTACCAAGTATATTATAATATGCACACTTTTGCAAGGAAATCAACAAAATAGCTCAAAATATATTTTCAAAAATATTACTCCTAAAAAATAGACCTATTTAGTTCATTTAAGATAAAAGCAAAATAATCACATGCAATGAGAGTGAGGTATTTTTTTTGCATAAGTCTCCTTAAAAATTTAAATAATATCATGGTAATTACTTAAAGTTTTCGATGGGAAAAAATTATCAAACTTTCAGATACATAATTTTATAATGAAAAAATTATATTTCTATATAGCATTTGTGGTGCTTTCTGCAAAGAATAAAACTATAGAGTAGTCTGCTTTTTAATTATGTTGCTGCTACTCAATAATAGAAATTTTCCAATTTAAGAAATTTTGACTTGAAAAATACATGCAGTATCTACAAAATTAACAATTTTCTTCTACTGAAGATATCGAGTAATTACAGTAGATGATAAAGGGTACCCTATACCTTTAAACTGGAATGAAAGGGGGAGAACTAAAATTCTTTAACCTACCAAGACTCGAGGAATGATATGTGTCACTTTACATGCAACAATGCTTCCTCATACACACAGAGCTTCAAAGCTATTAAAAAGTGTCAAGTGATATTCAAATGATATTCTACATAGTTTAAAAATATACTACAAAAACTGTCATATAAATATATTTAAAAGCAGAGATTAAACTTAGGGATGTTCTTTACATAAATATTTTACTAAATAGGAAAAAACATGCAACAATATTTACAAAAAAATAGTCATTTTCTGCAAAAACAATCCAATAGTGACAATTTTACTGAACAAAGCAACTCAGCAAATTTGAAGTAAAACAAAAATACTATGTAGCACTTACAGGGTGAAGGACAGATGTATCAGACACAAAGATAAAAAATATACAGCTTTATACAGTGTCTGTATGTAAACAGATCAAATTCTTGGTTATATCTTAAAATTTTCCCATATACAAAATGAAAATCCTATATTTTATAATGTTGTATCCATCTCAATGTCCAATGCTAACTTCAGTCAACACAATCACCAGTCATACCAGCCATATACATCAGACATGAGCCTAGGTTTAAAAAAAAAAAAAAAAAAAGAGAAAAACTCTGAAAATTTATCATGGTTCCCAACACCTAACCTTTGCAAATATCAGGAACCATTAGAATTGAATTAAAAAACGCGGAATTCAGTTTTTCCGTGGAAAAAGCTCATGTCAGATTGTCTCCTTCAGGTATGTCAGTTATTAAATTCTATCATAGTATGTGTACACTGGTGTGTATTGTAAGTCTCCCTTGGTGTATTCATTATCTGCGTCATCCTTGATGTCCACTGCTCCAAAAACACAAGCAGAATAACTTGGGGGAGCTGGAAGATATCAAGAATAAAAATTAATTATTTGACTATAAACCACATGCTTATCTACATCTTATCTTTATATACCTATGAGCACATTCAGATTGTTTTTTTTTTTAAACCAACTCTGTGATGAAGGATAATACAAGGATTGTACTGAGAAGGGGGTGTATGGAGGGAGGTGTCTGTGTAATCCCACTAATACTTGCTAATTCAAGTCCCAGTAAAACTTACGAGGTACAGCGGCATCAGTTGGTGGTGCAGAGGGCTGTACAGGCAAGGGTGGTGGAGGTTGATTTGAACTATACACTGTATTATAGTTTGCCCCAAAACCATACTGAGGGTAAGTTGTACGAAGTGGGACAGTGCCCACTAAGATTTCCAGTGGGACCTCCAGGTCAAATGCAGGCCCAGAGGGATCCACCACAATCTGTAATATAGAATTTAATATGCACATTTAGGCCCCTTCTTGTACATTACTGCATAAACTTTGGAACATGAGACATGCAAGTATTGTCCTGATTTCTTTATTTCTGATAATTTGGTAGTGAATCTAAGGTATCACCAGTACATGTAAACACATTTTATATTTAGTAGTGTGATACTATATGCAAGTTGTTTCAACTTACTGCAAGATTCATGTGTACCGTTTAGGCATCATAAGAGAATAAAATCACACAGGGACAGAGCCATTTTAAATAAATAACAAACTTACACACATATAATACTGGATGTCAATGATGCGGCATCCCACCAGTTCTGAGGGTGGTATAGGGGGAATAATGATGGTTTCATTTCTCCATGCTTCACTATCACCTGGTGCAACCTCTCCCTTCACAATGTTCAATACATTTTTAGAACTGTAACGTGTCTTGGTGGTTGCATGGAAAGCAATTGACTGAAAACAATAATATAAATGGGTATATGATTTTAAGCTTTAAAAAACTAATTTAGATGGTGTTGATAGGTAGCTATGGCATATACACGCACTTCTCAACAATGTGAAGAGAAGCTCACCCTCAGGCACACCATTCTCTTGACATCTATGGGTGCATTCCCATAGATTTTAGATTGATCTATCCTCGTGGGGAGTCTCACTAGATTACTGTCAGATTATCCGGCTTAAATGTCCATCCTGCCTACTACAAGCTGTGAGGGGGTAATTAACTTTCGTGCCCACTCGGCTGACAGCTATTTAGCATGACCCCCCAGGGAGTTAGGTCGATCTAGTTGGATCGATCTAATCTCTGGGAATGGGGTCTATGACAATGAGTCCAATATGTTAAATAATTGCCACTAATCTTCATAATAACAGCATGAAAAGGTAATCTTCATTTTACCTACCTGTCTCAGAACAAACATAACCCTGTCCATTTTCCTACTGCTGTGGTTGTTCACTTCTGCAGTGACATGAATTGTCTCTCCAGGCACATAGCCCTTCTTAGGTATACTTATCTTTGCAGTAATAGGGCCGCTGGCACAACACAGGCAGCACAGGGTCTTTGAGTTTTGTCCCTCCATACCCATCTACATACAAAAAATTAGCTATATATAAAATACTATTAGCAATGTATATTATACATTGTGTATATATACTGATATACATTTAATTCAGCAACACAGGGTGCTGTTAGTACTCAATTTGACAGGAAAAGAGCAATTATTTTTTTTTTAAAAAGGCAGCCAATATCTTATTTTTGTTAGACCAAAAGCTGAATTTTGAAGAGAGAAGAGATGTAAAAATCCCATAATCAGTCTATAAGGACAAAGTAAGAATCCCTTACCACACCATAGCAACACATAATCTGTTACACATGCAAAAGTCACCATAAAATCAAAATGATCCTTACAGCAGCGTCTGGTCTTGTGTTCAAATCCAGAACACTGAGGACAGTGAAGGCTCTTTTGGTATGATGGTCAAATTTCCAGGGTTTGTCAATGGTCCCAAGCATGCTGTAGCGCACGTGACCCCAGTCTCCCTCAAAGGATGATGGCAAACCATGAGGAAGTTGAAAACTAAATGGAAAAGTGTGACTACCTGCTGGTAGAGTAGGGTCATCTCCACGATCGTTAGGACCTGTTCAAAGAAACAGACAGACATCCAGGCCATTGAGCATGATTCTACACATTTAAAAATAGTGTTGATTTTGACATGATTTTGAAAAAAACTGATATGATGTTAAGGGGCATTTCAAATTAAAGTAATTAACAGATATTTTGTAATACTTATATTGTAAATTAAAAAAAAAAAAGGTTATATAAAAATGCTTACACAATCCATGTGCTGTCGACAGGAAAGAAAAACTGCAGGTATGTACAAGTATCTCCATATTTGTTATTCCATGTGATATCATACAGGGTCACTATCTTAACTTACCTTTACCAAACAAAGTAATAATGTGATGAAAGTAATTTTCAGTAGCAGAGTAATGCCTGGTGGTTGTATGAGAGGATTTTCCAGTATGTGTAGTATGTTGTTCAGTCCAATGAACATACGCAAAGCCTTTCAATTCAATACGGACACCTGAAAATAGGTCAAAAAGTCTTATTTATATTTGTAAGTTATATTAAGCACTAAGTAATAAATTTCCATTGTATATCACCCTATTAGTTTGAAATTACCCTTTCGTGTGTTAGTTGCAACTGGACTTGTTTTTTCAAGTGTACTGCACTGTACATGTATTGCAGTGTATTGGGCAATTTAAAGCCACATAGTACATGTATGTACTGTACTGTACATGTAGCTTGATAATACTATACATACACCATGGTTTATATCATTAAGTTCTAGACAGCAAAAGATTCACTTTGGCCATTGGGAGAATTAACTTCTAATTAACTCCAGTGGACACTGGTTAATTAGATAATTAGGTTATGTGTCACGTGATGCCACTGCATGTGAACTCAATTATTGTAAACAAACTAGGGCAGGACTTGAGATAACCATCAGTCACTCTTACTTCGGAGATAGCAATAATATATGTTTTGGGTGAAATACAGAGGACCAGACACTGAACCATTCAATGAACCATGCACCTAGGCTAAGAGCAGTGGTGGGACCTCTAAAAAATCTGATAAATAAACAAACCCATGTTTTATTGATTGGGGGGGGGGGGGTCTATAAACGTGTACAGTTTATCTTGAAAATTCAGTCAGGGGAGGGGGGTTCAACTAAAAGTCCCCCAAACAAATCCCCCACCTGAATGATGCAGTCATACTACTACTGAAAAAAAAGGAAAAGTGTAATTTCTAGTCCAATATGGGTCCAGTGGCATACTGTACATGCAACCAGACGCTGATCAGTATCACTAACCGTCGAGACGAACCACGTAATGTTAGATAACCGTGTGGAAAGTGATTTGTTGCAACAGATTAACTGTCGATCAACAACAAAGGTCTTCATTTGGATTACTACGGGTCCTGAATTCATGTTGTCAGGGTCTGACATCGTGGCGTTTCAACTCACCTCTCATTTTCATCGGCTCATTTAACTCCACTAGGACATGGCCCTGTACGACTTCTCCTGCGTGATAAACTGCATATTGGTTTGGAAGAGAAATGGCAAATACATTAAGCTTCCCCATTGTCAACCTTGATAAAATTAAGAGACAATCGAGAGGGATTGTTTTACACGAACCCCTCCTTCTTTACAGGATTTCACAATTCTGTCCATAACGAGGCTCGCGCGTGGACACGCCAGTCATTACATGTTACAAGTTAATGTACTGCTGCTGCTGTCTTTTGGACAGTTATCGATTTTACCTATGATTTTTGTTAGCATTCCACCTTGGAGCAATAAAACATTTTCCTAAGTATAACTACCATTCGCTATTACCATCAGTATTGAATGACACTGGTGGAGTTTTACGTATTAATTTGTTTTAACATAGATCTACATACGTCATCGTTACCGTGCACTGTACTTCTAGTCGCCAAATCGGGCGCATTTATGATTGAAGGTCGTATTGATATATTTAAGTGATTTTGATACACAGTTTTTCACTACGGTGGACCAGTGCAGTGCGATACTCTCACTATATCAAATTCTTAAATATGTACTAGTAGTTTAAATTATTTATTAGTGCTCTTTTAAGATATATATGACAGACAAACATGCCTTTAGTAAACCCTAACTCTAGGCATATGGTCAGTTATCCTGCACTCAATTTATTGTACCTCGTATCTGTTCAAATATTTCATTCACCATCATATCCCCCCCTTAATAATATAAAAAATATAATTTATTCATGTATTGGTAAAATAAATCTTGCAATGAATTTATTTTCATTATATTTGATAATTAAAGTGTTTTTGGTATTTTTACACATTTTAATTGTTAAAAGTGTTTATCTTCTACATATTTATAGATGATACATTGGTTAAAAAATAATACTTGCACAATGTACATCACCTCTCACTATTACCCTCAGCACTGTTTCTTGTACATAGTGTACCCTGGAGTGTGCTCTATACGTTTTTAAAAACCACATATAGCAATCAATAGCACGGACAAACATTACAGACTTATTTACAGTACATTAATTGGTGGAAAATTTTACAAAGCCATTTTTACCTTAATTCTAGACCTGTTCAAATATTGTTATTCATATAAGACAAATGGCTAAATGAGTAAAACTTATATATTCTTGTGAATTTCTTTTCACTACATTTGATAAATTATTGGTAATATTTTTAAGTTAGAAAGTTTTTTTTGTATTTTTTTTTCTAATAATTTAAAATATCTTGAGGTAAGACACATACCTGGCCATACATTACCTTCTAAGTACAGTAGCCTAGGTCAACAATTGTTCTATTATTCAGCAATTGTGGAATTTTGAATGAGGCAAAAATGAACACAGGTCAAGTGTTGGAAATTTCACCCTACCATTTCTGGCCAAAAACTACCATCCTTTATCTCAACTTTTGCATAAAATCATCTGAGATCCGTGTAAAGTCCTTGTTCAATATAGATGAACCAAGCCAAATTAATTTCTGAACAAGTAGGCATCTAAGAAAATTCTTCATTTTATGCTTTGCTCTCTCAATCATGTTTTTTTTTTATATAAATAAGCAGCATATCCATTTAGTCTGCGTGAAACTCTGCGTTGTCATATATGAGTTTGTTATAATTGTTGTTGTTTAATTATAATAATTATTTTTTATTATTACCAATGTTATCAAATAGTTACAGCAGAAAATAAGTACAAAGAGAGTTTTTGCAATAAAGTATATTTTAACTTGCATTTGACATAAAGAGCATATTTATATACACAAAACAATTGCCATACTGATTAAAGTCAGCTTGAACAACAAGCAACCAAACATATAATTGTTCATGGATAAAGCACTTTACTTTTTGTATCAATGGGTTCTGGAATGTTTCATTTTTCCAAAGATTATGTAATTATCTTGCCACAGTTATTTAAAGATTTGCACAAAAAAAAAAAAAAGACTCCAACTGTGAATCAAGGTGAGTCTGTAATGGACATGCCTGGCCTGTTCAGCTCCAGCTGGTGAAGTGGAACACTGCAAAGGTGGTAATTAAGTTTTGCAGCTGATCTCAAATATCAAATTTGTGTAGCTAGAAATATTAGAGTAAAAAAAGGTTTAAATCTGAAATAAATAATTTTGATTGTAACATCACACTTTTATGTGCCAAAATCTGTCACCATACCACAAAAGAAATTTTTAAAAAATTGTTTTTCTCTAGCAATTCCTTTCTACAACTGCAACCCACTTTCCGCTGATAATCCATCTTCAAGACAGAAGAGACAGACAAAATTTCAAGTAATGCTTGAGAAAAACCTGGGAGGAATGTACAAAGCACACTTATTTGTATGCTTGATGTCACCTAGATGTCCCTATCCGATGTTTCCTCTCTTGCTACCTTTGACTAGCTGATTTAGAAAGTGCCTGTGATATAAGACTTGCTCCTCTTGAACTACTGGACGGCTGAGACCTAAAAATGTCAACATTCATTTATCTAGAGTTAATGCCAAATGAATTAATACAATTTTACAAATTAATACATGAGTATTCTTTAAAATTTTAACATAAAATTTACTTGGATTATCAGAGCCTTTGTTGACCATTAAAGATCAATGCAAGATAATATTTTGATTGATGCAATATCAGTTCCATAATTGATGACTTAAATACATATTTTCCAATATGGAATTAATTTGCCATTCTGTTGAAGCATATCAAAAAAAAATATATATGCAAAATTCACATGAAGACTTACTTTGCAGAGGAAACTGCTCCTTTTCTCTGGGGAGCTCCCTGTTTAGCTGCTCCAGCCTGACTTGCTGTAGGAGCTGGTTTCCTAGAAATTAAAGGCACCATCAGTATTCTAAGCTATAGAAATTTTTCTTCACAACCAAGTTTCAATCTTTTACTTTTCAGGAAAATATTTTGGATAACTAAAATACACAGCAAAGGTAATTCAGATACATGTGTACTTACTTTTTATCTGATTTCCCTCTAAAAACTTTGCCAACATCTAGTTGTATTACTTGAGACTCTTGACTATCAGATGGTGCAGGCTGCGTTACAAAATTACTGTCCAGCTGAAGACGCTCTGGAGCAAACACGTTGAACCATTGCTGAAGGTAACAGAAAAAATAACTTACAAAATATGTACAAGCACTACTACGAATTTAGAAGAGGTAATATATTCCTTGTGTGAACAGCTTTAGTTTAACTTGTTTCAGGTATTCATTTTACTTGACATGAAAAAAAAATCCAGTTTGCAGCAATATTGCAAATATTTACATATTGCTGCTTACTCCTTTCATAAGTTAAATTCTATTTTCAGACAAAGAACAAAATGCTATGCAAACACCTTAGCTTGTGGTGGCAAGCCCATATCTGTAAATGCATACTGCCATTGTGGCAGACCTAAATGTGTGAGCATTAGTCTGTAGTATGAAGTAAAGCTCTCTGCCAAAAAATGCCACTGCAGGGAACGGTCCATGAACCACACTTCAGGGTTATGTGTTGGCACTCCTGGAGTAAAAATAAACAAGAGAAAATTTATGATTAAATATTAAATATTAAAACTATAATCAATTTACAAAAATGACTGTGAAAGAAAACCGTCAACATGCATTGCAATCAGAACTATTTTCCAGGTCAAGTTCAATTCTGTCAAATGACATGTAACGACATTAAGAATATTTAAATCTTACCTGGTTTGGCACATTTATAAACAAGGCACACCTTTCCATGACCATCACAGGAATCCAGTTCAAAGATTCTTGCTCTCTGGTCAAAATGGGGTTTGGGATGGACTGAAGTACATGAAGGTATACACCTATATTGCATGTAAATATATAGTCTACATAACTTGAAGAAGTCAGTCACGAGACAAGTTAGAAAAAGTTTAAATACAGAAAAAAATATAAGATACACATCTGCAAAAAAGTTCATACTTTCTAACTTAAATTTACACAGGTAAGTCCTGAATGCCTGAAACAAAATTGCAATTTTAATATTTAGTAGTGGTGATAACAAGAATTGTGCATATCCACCTCTCCTGAAGTAGACCTTGTGACTACTAAAAGAGACTAAATATATTAGTAATTTCATACAGTACAAGAAAACTGTAAAATTTGAACTTGGTTAAAACTTACTTGGATCATCTTCTTCCTCCGATTCAGCTTCCAGGTCAGCTAAAGAGGGCATTGCTGGACTACTGTTGCCAACTATTCCACCAAATCTGTTTAAACTGCTTATGGGATTTATTTCCATTTTCCCAAGAGGAATTAATGTGTCTAAAATACATTAGATATTGTATAAGAATAACTGGTCTATATAACATTTATTCAAATATACCTAATTAGTGGACAAAATTGTAAATAAATAAACAAGTTAAATGCCATTTGACAGGGAATAAAATTATGACAATTGACTACTATCAAGTCACCTTGAAAACAAGAAATGTATGCAGTGCAACAACAGCTGCACTCCTGATCCAAAGCCAAACTTGGAGTGTTTCTACACAGATTAAAAACAATTGGCATATATACACTGTAGGTACCAGGCCAATAGGCAGAAGGATCTGAGGGGGGGGGGGGTTAGAAAAACCACACTTTTGGCAGGGATGTGGTATTATTCCTAGGAAAAGACCCTCCTTTAAAATTGCTGGCTACAGGCCTAAACATAATTCTTTGCCATTAGCAAGATGTCTATACATACCTCCAACTTTTGTTTTCCATGTTAACTTCATGCCATTGTTTGTAAGATAAAAACACTTCAAATCATCTGGCAGGAAGCAGGAACATCGCTGGAATTTAAGAAATCAAGTAAATAACATTTAACATAAATTAATAAACAGTTGTAAGATTTTTTTATATGTGTTATATGTTGTGAGTAAATTTTATGAGAACAAAGGATAGTAAATGCAATATAAAAGCACTGTATCATTTAGCAGGCATTGTACTGCCACTTTCTATAAAAAGAGGATGAAAATCAACTACCCCAGGGAGGATATCCTCCTACTAATTTTTTTGTTAATCTGTGCCCAACCCTGTTCACACCAAACATGTACCTGATCCCATCCTATAAGTTCTGTAGTTTCTGCAGGGGGTTTCTGATCAAATACTACACCTGTAATGCCTGGTCGCTTATCTGAATACGAAATATCGTATGATTTACGTTATTTCATATAAGCTGACACACATAATAAACAATACATTTTAAGAATGGGCACTATGACAAGATTAGCACTTCGAGACTTTCTTTTAAAGATAGAGTTTACATCTGAAAAATAATCATAACTTGTCTGCTCAATGGCAAAACTTTAAAATTGTAGAAGAATGAGGAAACTTTCAATTCTTCTCGTTTTTTTTTTTTTTTTGTCGATTATTTAAAAAAAGTATTTTTGGCTTTTTCTTATCTCAAAGGAATAGTTATTTCGAAGAACAAGCAGTCAGCCAAACAGTGTGACGACCTGAGCAGATAAAAACGTAGGTTTAACTTAACGGCCCGTCACTTGGGTTTGACGGCGGTTTGTTTACATTGGTGAATGGAATACTTCTGTTGCTAGTGCAGTGACATTATCCCTTCAGAAATAACCAAATATTTCTTGTGATGCCTTTATAATCAAACAACACTCTCTTTACCCAATGTCTTTAAAACACCAAGCGTTAGTTGTTCAAAAAGTCTTTTATAACGAGTGTCTTCCTCCGGCATCCTTGTCAATCGATTGCACTCTTCACAAAATGAAGATTGCAAAATACTTCATAACTTTTGGAATTGTGGGATATTAGCGGGAGCAATGATGACTCTCGGTATCACTTCCTTCCTTGTTATCCCCTTTAAATACGTTGAAGTTGCTGTAATTATAGTCACACTTTGAGGAAAAGTAACATTGGTAAGCGCTTCATATGATTGTACTAATGCAAGTGAAGTTAGATAAAATCTAAGTTCAACAAGTTGCACAGATTGCTGGTCTTCTGTAACTTTTTAAAGTTCTCATTTCTGTCTGTGCCTCTAGCTTATTTTGTTGCTTTTGTTTAGCCTTTAGTTTAGTGAAATTTGTCAGTGCACAAATAGTGAAATGCATTTGATTGTGTGGTTAAAGTTCTTCTCAATTCTAGTTTGATCTAAAATAACACTGCTATAATACTATAGTGCTTGCACCACTGCCACAGTTAATAAATTACACATGTACATCTTAAAATTGAAATGAAATGCAATAAATTGATATGCAGTTGTTGTAATATACTGATTTGCAATAATTGAAAGCATACAAAAAGTTATTGTCTTTGACAATAGTTTGATAACCTTTTTTAATTTATCTCAGATAAACAGGTGATCAAAATGAGTGGACAACAAGATTTGATGGCTAGTTTTAAGGAGGTGGAGCAATTGCTCAGGTATGTAGAAATAAATCAGGTAAGCTCATTTTTTGTTGTAGTAAGTAATAATCATTATGTTTTTTAAAAACTAAATGATCAGTGAACAGGAGAATTCTTTGTCCCACAGTGTACAAATAAATACTTGCCAATGCTATTCTTTTTGCATAGATAATCACTACCCTTTACATTTCCAATTAGGCGAGTATTGAAAACAAATATTATCATGTTTTTATGAACAATTCTTACACATTTTATATTTTAGTGATGCCGATATGCCTCCAGAAGAGAAGACCAGCAGAGGAAGGAAGTGTCTGTGCCACATAGTGGACACCTTACTTTGTGACATGAAAAAAAGTATGTACCACTGAGATGAAATGAGCTACATTTAAAAAAAGGGATTATCATTTATTAAACTTCCTCATTATGCTCTGGTTTTATCATTGCATATCTGATCATGATGATTTTCTGGAGTGGACCACACATGGTCTTATAACAATAAAATACTTTTTTTTAAATTAGCAAATTACTTTATATCTCAGAGCAAATAAACATAAATCTGATTTTTTCCCTTTTTTTCAACAGTTTCTGATGAGGTGAAGAACACTGGTAGTTCCTCATTTTGTGAACTAAGTCTACAGATGGTGAATCAGTTGGTAGACACGGAGGCCTTGTCACAAATGTTTGTTGAAGATGCCCATGGTTATGGTGATGAAACACCGGTTTTGTCTCAGGCAAATGAATCTGTTATCCCAGAGAATAAACTTGTCTCACAGGGTATGTGATTTCCAATAATGCTTAGCTAAAGTCATCATAGCAAAATTTATTATTTTTGTATTTATTATGTTGTATGTATTTTTTGGAGTACAGTAGTTGATTGACAAGATATCTTTTAGCAATTAGTAACTGATATAAGATAAATCTTTTCAGTATAGGATCAATAACAGAAATATTCTTTGTAGACTTATGATTAGTTTGTCTACTTTGTGTGTCCTGTCCTTGCCCAAGAAATTGATAAAGTTGGTTTTAATTGGCAGTACGAAAAAAATATTATCAATTTGAGTTCCAATTATGGTCTTTGTCACTCAGAACTTTCTGATTTGTTCTTGATAATGATAAGATATGGTTAGAGTGTCTAGCTAAATTGTATGACAGAAATGTTTCAGTACAAAAAAAAACAAACTTTTTACAGCTTTTACATTTTGGATTGTGAACCGCCTCCTGGCTGTTCTGGTGAGTGAGGAATGTGCTCCATACCATGAGAAAACTATCACCTCTGTGTACAACATTCTGCAGCTGTTGAAAGGAAGAGATACATATGCATTTGCTCAGCTGGCTTCTGAATTGATCCTTTGTTTAGGGGGTAAGTTTGCTTCTTTGGATTTCTCATTGAGATGAAAAAAACAGGCAATTCTTCAGTTGATGTAATAAGCTCTCTTTTATATTGTCCATTTAAATTTCATTCTAGTCCTGAATTTTATCATGCATCAATGACCAAGTTGTTCTGACAAATTTTATCTGGGCAACATATTACATTGTTAACAATAACCTTTCATAACAAGAGCATGAGAACAATTGTGCCTAGATGTCAGCCTCTACGTGCCATCTAAATTCATATTGTCTTTATGGGTGCTGTACTGCTTGTATTACGTCTTTGTAGACATATGTGAAGCATTCTACCATGCAGACATAGCAATGGATGATAGGGAAGAGTTGAAGAGGTTCAAATCTGATGAATTAATGCGTGGGATATACCAGGTAAATCCACGGGGTAGAGCAAATCCCCCCCCCCCCCCCTTGCTGGTCTTTGGTCAAAGGCACAGGGTGGGAATTGCAATCAGTCATTTGCTAGAAATGCCCTTCTAGATGCATTTTAAGCTTGCGTTCCCCCCAAACAAGATAAATTGCCATCTGGTGCTATTGTAAACCTTAATTCATTTTTCCAAAATTTATATGTGAATAATGAATAGAGCTTGGATGTACAAAGAAAGGTATATATGGTCAAGTTATCTAATGCTAATAAAATACACTTGCTTTATTTTGATACAAAAAGGTTTTTGCTTTGTATAAGGTTCGGGGACAAACAAGAAATCTTACCTTAACACTTTAGTTTCATTTCATAGGAACTATTTTATCTAATATTTAGGGAGGTGATGTTGTTACCTACACTCACAGAGCAGTTTTATTCTCAAACACTGAAGCTGGGGAGCTACTGCAAGTAAACTTGACGTCAGTACATAATGTAGATATCTGATATTTTTGGTCCACCCAGTTTTTCTTTCACTGATAAAAAAACAGTGTTTTAACTATATCAGTATTACCTTATGGTATTGTTGTGTTTAAGTAATTTGATGATATATGATAACATCTAGCTGTAGCTAGCCAGCAGCCTCATTAAAATCACATCGCATAATTATTATTATTTTAAAAAGTTTTTTAGTATTTTGACAGTAATTGCTCATCTAAAAATTTACAAGTTATAATTATTGTATATGTCTATAAAGTTTTTTTTACCACCAAAATTTTAGTATTTTTTACCTTTGGTGTATTCCAGGAGAATAGTTGGTAAAGTGATATTTGAAGTCCATCAGTTTGTAGGTAGGAAGGAACACCTACTCTGGAGTATACTGGGATGTCAGCTAGAATTTGGAGATGTGGAACTAAAGAGGGTTTGTAGTTATTTGCAGTTTTCTATTTTTCCTTCATCCATGTTACTAAAAACAGTGGAATAAATCTACTCCATTATGATTGCGTGTGGGGGAAGGAGAGTTGTTGTGTATCTTAATAAAATTTTTGTTGAAAAAAAAAAGCAATAAAAAAAACAAATCTGCTAGAAATTGATTTGTTTTTAATAGGTTTCTCTAGATGTGTGCCATGCCCTCACAGAAGTGGGTGGTTTGCCCCCAATGGAGACTCTGGATTACTATGTCAGTTGTCTAGGAGCACTGGTGGAGCTGCTTTGTTCAGGCTTTGATGATGTGCCAGGGTGAGTCTAGGAAAATGCAAAAATTTATTTAATTTAACTGGAATGAGAAATGGATCTTTTAGCTTGGAATTCAGATATAAAAGCGGATTATAATTTTTTGTTGTTGTTTTATGTGTTGAGTGATTTTAATAAATTATCAAATAATCACTGTTTTTTAAGATTGTAGGAGTAATTTCATGGTGCCTCTTTTAATGTTATACAATGTATTTAGATGTAAATTCTCTTACAGTAAGCTGTCCTCACATATTGATTCCATTTTTTTACAGTGACTATCTTGCCTTGGAGACTAGTTTGGCCAACTGTCTTGACACAGTCTTTAACCAACCAGTGTCACCTTCTGAGATAAATACAGTGAATACAGGGCAACTAGAAAGTATGTTACAAAGACTATTCCAGGCTGTTACCCAGCATGGTCTACAGCAGTTAAAAACAGACAGGTTGAGAACATCTCTGTGTGACACATTGGTGTCCATATTTGATGGACTGCCCTCAGACATGGTTCATAGTAGTTTAATGTTGAAGAGGAGGAGAGAAATGGATTCTGTGATCATCAGTGAAATTGGCCAAATGGATAACAGTCAGGTAAATTGATATTTTTTACATTACTTTTCACACTAAAGGATTTCTGAAAAATCTTAGCTTAATTTTGCCAGTCCTTGTATTTGAATACAATCCTTTAAAAGATTTGGTTTACAGTTTGTTAATTCAGAATTTTATATGTATTTTTTCTGACTCAATTTCAGTACCTAGTGCGTTACATGTGCTGTGCTGTACGACTGGATCTCCCAGATGCCAAACCCAGTTTGTATTCAGCTCTCTCCTCTTCTTCAACCACTTCCTCAGACCTTGATATCCTCAGGCCCTCTACTTCCACAGACTCTGACAGCACAGATGACATGGTAGTCATAGGGAGGAAAAGGAAACTCGGGTTGAATAGAGGCAAAGGAAAAGACAGGTATGACTATTGAATGTTAAGTATTTATCTATTCAGCTATAAAATTAACTGGAAATAAGAGCTAAACCCTTTTATAACACATTTATGTATTGGTCTGAGGCAAATATAGAAAACTGTAAAAAAGAAGAATTTTTAAAAGTTTTCTTTTTTTACTTTGTGTTTGAAGAAAATGTTTCTCAGGCATAGTTTTTTTTCCTTGTGTAAAATTCACATAAGGGAAAATAAATTACTCATCTGGAAATAAAAATATAAAGGATTAATTCAGTATATTTTCTGTAGCAGTTCTGATAATTCTCAGAATTATCCAACAACAGCAATATCCAGGAAATCGCCAACTTGGAACTTGATGCTCAGCAAACTAAACCAGCTTTGTAAAGCCTTGCAAAGTGGAGCCACCGAGGTATGTAAAAGCAGAAATAATTGTTTTGAAGTTGTATATGTTGTAATTGTACTTCATTCTGCTGTATCTATATATGTCAGTGTTTTGAATGTTAGAATGTAAAACACAAAAATCTCATTTCTTGTAAATTTTTGATATAAATATAACTCTGGTTAAAATGTCATTTTTGAAGGTATAACCATTATGGTTTTAATCTGATTGTACTGCCTCTTTTTTCACAGACTCGAGTAGTGAACATTATGGAGGGATTAAGAACTGTTGTGGAAGTTGCTGTATGGTGTGTTGTTAAGAAGGGCAGGGGTGACGTGGATGACAAAGATAATATTAGGTATGAAATAAATGCATAACTTTTAGTTTGTACATTTGAATCCACATATGATATTCGTATTGCAGGTGAAAATTTAAAATTAGCACACAGAAAAAAAGTGCACATAGTCAAAGTACTTGTCATTTAAAAAATATTTTGATTTGTGTTGATGGCAAAGGTATCATATGTGAAAAGTCACTTATTGAAGTAATCTATATCCCTTTAGGCTGCCAAATGTTCCTAGCACTCCCTCCAGACAGCCAGTTGGTTTGACTAACAGAGATAACTTGTCAGAATGGCTCAATAACAGCATGGTGGAGACCATATTTGAGGCTTGGAAACATCACTTCCTACAGTGCACACAGTCTAGTGTTCTCATGACCTCCTTGTCCAAGTGTTACAGGAAGATTGTGGAAACCATTGCCTCATTGATGTTTGTGTCAGGTCTCTTAATTTTTATTTATTTATTTATTTATTTATTTATTTATTTATTTATTTATTTATTTATTTATTTATTTTTTGAAAATAACATCTAGTTTTTGTGTGTGTGTGTAAATAGAGGTTTTTGGAATATTTTTTTCAATTTATTTTGGAGAAGAACTTTTTACAATTTTAAATTGCTCGTTTTTCTAGGTAGATGAAGATTGTGATAAATTGTACAGTTGTTTCTTGGTGTTGTATGTCAACTACAATATTATGCACATTATCATAAATTGTTTATAATTCCCAGTAGAGAAGAAGATTTCTCATCATACACTAATTATTACTTTATATTTTATAGTTAATTTTTGTGTCTTTAGATCAGTCTGGGCTGTCATTGCAGTTGATGACCAATCTAGCATGGATGACATCACTTTACTGGATTCCTGTGAGTTATTACATCTGCTGTATATATATATCTGATGTTTTAAACCAAAAGATTGATTGCTTACTAAATCAGATGACAATAATCAAAATAAAATTGACCATGTTGTTGCTAGTATTTCTATAGAGTAAAAGATGAATTTAGTAGCTAATCTTTCTTTTTGAATGTTGCTTAAAATGGAAAATTTACTTTATTCTCACTTCTTCCAGAATGATCCTACCTGGATTGATTTGAAGCCTGTAAACAGCAAAGAAGTAGCAGTACTTGCTTCTGCACTTGCTGAAAAATTAGGTATTTTTCCAATTTTAACTATTATAGATCCACATTTAATGCAGAAACCTAGACTTGTGTTATTGATAATGTGCACACTGCACAGGGTATTTTATGTGTTTAATGTAAACTACCAATTAAATGTCATGTCTGTGTTTTTTTCTGTTTTTCAGATCCTGATGTGGTAGCAGATGCACTTACAGCTTTGTGTCTGTTTCCCAAAGACATCTGTTCCAAATGGAGGACTCATGCTCTCAGACTGGCAGTGGTATGTAACTTCTTTGTAGATCAGCTAATTATTGCTATGGAGCTCATTACAAAGATTTCAAAAATAACTTTTAAATGAGAAAAGTAATAATTTAAAAATTATTTACAAAATATTTAACTTGGAAATTAAGTAAGCAGAAAGTGTGAAGAATGATTTGATAAATGAACTTTATTTTTGTCTCTGTTTTAGAATGATTCTTCTGATATCCTGCGCTGTGCTGCTATCAGAAACTGCCCTTTCTTGTTCCACACTTTGGGACCAAATACAGATCACCTTGTGCGTGATTTGCTGCAGTAAGTTTTTTTATGATTCACAACTTTCTTCTCTTCTTTGTTTGTTTTTTTCTTTACTTTTGTAAATGAAAAGAATTATTAGTCAACAACAAAAAGTAAATTTTGCAGTTTGTTTATTTTTCATTAATTTACCTTTTTTAAGTTCTTAATTTTTTTGATAATTTATTATTTATTTATTTTCAGTGATTGTATACAAGACAAGAGTACTGCTGTTCAGAAACATTTGGCAGAAGTTGTTGGAAAACTTGTATGTGTCATGTCCAGAAAAGCTGTCATAGAAAGGTATAGGTGACTCTGGTTTCTGTATTCATGAGCAACATTGCAAAGGTTTCATCATAATTTGCATAAGGACTCCAAAGAGAGGATGAAGAAAGTAAATTTAGATGCAGCTATTATGAAAATGCTGTCTTGAGTTTTAAAAAATTTGTTACTACTTGTGCTTATTGACACTCATTACAGTCCTGTTTTTCGGGGTGCTTGTATATTTAAAGTGTGTCATTTAAGGTGGTAGTTTTCATGCCACAATTCTTTTGCCAACTTTTTAATAAATTGACCCCTGCCTTTTCAGACCAGTCCAGGATGTCAGAGCCAAAAGTTTTACAACATTAGTTCTGAAGTGTGCAGCCTGTGATTCTCTGCCTGGTATGGATACTTCTTTTTGCACAGAATACTTGCTAATATGTTGTGTGTGATTTTCAGTAGCATTGTCTCATAAAAATTTAGAGAATATATGTAGAAAATTTGGACAAATTTGTGCATCAGACTTTGTGAATATTTTCCAGTGTTTGAGGTGATTGGCAGTCCAGGTAGCAGACCAAAGTTGGTAGACCCAAAAATGTTTTCACCCTTCATGACTCTGTTGACCTCTGATAAGATTGTCAAGCAAAGTGAGTTCCATTCTTTTTATATTAATTTGTTTGAAAAGTGTTTGTAATTTTTTTGTTTTATTTGATAGACTACTGGTCAAGTGTCCTAACAAGGTAATAAAAGAATTTTATTGAGATGTACATCATTATTTTGCTAGTTTTATTACTGTTTTTTAAATATATGATTTATAGAGCATCATGACTTGAGATAAAGCTGTGCATGGAGACATGAGTTCCATTCATTCCATGTAAACTTACTTTATTTTTCTCCCCCAACACTGTAGGTCTAATTGAAAGTTTTGACAGATTGTTTGGTCACATTAAGATTCATTCCAATAATGAATCCACTGTGGGCATGCTGAACATGTGCCTGGAGCTGATTGAAGATCCTGACTACCATGTCAGACTGGCATTCAGGTAAAATAAAAGCAAAAATCATTGTGGATTAAAAAAAAAAGAATATGTGTATATAGTTGTTAGCAGTAGATGCATGAGCACGCCAGACTATTATCAGGTGATCTGTATTTGAAAAACTAAAAAAAATAATAACATTTTAAATAATGTACATGTATATTAATAATGGTGTTTTGCTGCCAAGGTGGTAGTTTAGGTACCCTAAATTTTTCATCTGAGACAATCAAAGTAGTATTGTTATGGTGCTTTTTGATGTATTTAGCAAATGCATCCAGTACCTTGTGAGTGCTGACCAAGCAGATATTGTTAGCGAGATGATTGTCAACAAATTGAAATCTGCCTACACAGTTGCTAAGAACCAGAGTGACCATAGGCTACAAGAAACAGTGATTTTGACAATAGGACAACTGGGAAGGTAATATAAATTTTTTGGGTGTGGTTGTTATATGTTCAGGTGTGTGAATAGTGGTACAACTTAAGCTTCTTTTGATGTACGCACAAATGAGTATGAATGATTTAAACAGATTTCATTAATAATTATTTTGATAGTTAAAAGAAAATGTCTGTAGAGTTTCAGAGGGTCAGTTGTTGTTGGTGGTCTTGCTTATTCTGCTGAAGTGTCTGATATCAGAAGAGCCTCTGCCTGCAGCTATTGCCAGGGGACAGATTCAGATGGTTGCCAAGTACAAAAAGACCAAGCTGCAGGCACTTTTCATTCAGTTCAGGCTCCATATTTGTAAGGTAGGTTTATTATTGGATTACTATTTAAAACTTTGTATAAATTTTATTTTCCATCTTTGAATTAAATCTTATCTTCCATTCCGGGTATAGTATCATAACCAGTAAACAAAATTTAAAAGGTGTTTTCTGTTGCAGTTAGAAATGGTTGATCATATTTTTTTCAATTAAATTTAGGAGTTTCTGGTGGAAGCTCTTCATGAAAGCATGTCCACTCTACAAGACACCAAGAAACCATATGAGATATTGACTGAAGTTGCAAGTGTTTTTGAGTTCCCAGATGTCAAGACATTCATTCAGGTTTGTCCTGTAATATTTTAATATATGAAATTGTACAGGGGATTTTAATCATGTTTTTGTAATATTTGATGGAAGAGGTAAAGGTTTACCAACAAAAAAATCGGTTTTCCCTTCAAATTTTCTGTTTTGATTTCTCTAATAAGAGTGAATAAATTTGTTGTTGTTAAAAACTGTATTTCGATCAAATAAAACCTAGGCTTGTATTTTTCATTTTTAGAGTGTTATAAAAAAGCACCTGCTTCCTCCACTGGCTATGAAGGCAACTCCAGTAGCTTCTAGCCTTGTAAAAATAATGGCACAAGCCCTTGGATATGGGGTAAGAACTTCTGCTGGCAATTTTTCTATTTCTGTCTTTTAAATTAAATTTTATTAATTTTTGGTAACCTAATAGCTCTTCAAAATAGACATATAATAGAAGTAAAAGCAGCTTTTGTGCTAATTGTTTTGTTGAATTTGTGGCATTTATTGGTTTATTTAATAGAATAATTCTACAAAGATTATGTAACCTGATATTTGTTCTGTTAATTATAGACTCGCAAGAAACTTATGATAGAGAACATGCGTTACATCTTCTGTTACCTCATTTGTACTTGTGAAGATGTGGAGATGAAAAGAGTGATCTCTTTTCTTGAGGTAAGCCATTTATTTGAAAGATATTTCACTTGTAAATTGCCATCATATATTTTAATCAACTGCAAATATTACTGTTTTATTTTAAAAATTTAATGGTGAATATTTTTTGTTTTGGATATTTGTGGAAATGTTCATTTAGAGGTTATTCATCATATTTTCCAATTATTTTCGGTTTTATCATCTCAGAGGGAAACCACATTTGAGCTGCCTGCACTGCTGAGGTTCCAGTACCAAGAAGCAATCAATGAACTCTGCCTGCACATGAGTACAAACTACAACAGGGTAAGTACAGGTTTGGTTTCTGTGGACATGGGATTTGATTTTCATTATATTGTGTACAATTTTTAAGATGATAGTGGTAACATGTTACAACTTTGTTGCTATTGCATTAAATGCTGCTATTGATACTGCTGTTGTTATCAGTACTTTCACTTTGATACTGCAATTCAATATTACAATTTTAATCAAAAAGGCAAAAATTCTGATTCTGCTCTCTTAATATAAATTTCTTGCAAATAATTAGAAAAACATTTTTTTTTTAGATTTTCAATGGACTTAAGACTATAGCTACCAAGAAGGAAGGTCACGAAGGAAGAGTGATAACAACCACAGAGCAGATGGTAACTTTATACAATACCGTTGTTATTATTTTATCTCTCAGTCTGTATTGATAAAGTGTATTTTAGGTTTAAGTTTTGGTTTTATAGCCTGATATCCTAAATGAACAAGTTTGGCTGGCTTTATAATTTATACTTGGTTTTTATGGAGCTTCTTAACTCTATAATTTCATCTCCCTGGGGTGTGTTTAACCCTAGCAGCAGTGTGTCATCCACTGTCACCAGCACAGTCAAGACCAGGTATTTGATAAATTACCTCTCAGAAGGACAATTTCTTTCTTGGGGGTGTTTTTCTTTACAGGCTGAATTTCTGCAACCTCATTTTCTAGCTGTGATTGCATCATTTGATTATCACTTGTCCAACGCCAATGTGCCACTGGATGAAAAGAAAATGGTAGGTTATGGATGGATTTAAGATGATTTTGACATCATATCATTATCATAATTTTACACAGTACTGTTCAGTTCTTCTAACAGTTTTGAAGTTAGGGTTGGGATATATAGTGAATTTACTCTAATGAACTCTCCCACGATACACTTACTCTACTTATGAGATTGATATTTGTATACAAGTAAATGTGTATTTTCATGTTTTTGTTTGTCTTCAGGCATTGGACAGCCTCTCTTCCATCATCCGCTTAATGGGAACAAAACATATAACAGCGGTTAGAATGAAAGTCTTGAACACCCTGAGGTATGGTTCATCCTAAAGGACACATTTTTTTACTCACGAAAGTCACCATATAACATATTGAAATGGCTTTGCTCACATAAGAATAACAATTTTGTTTGCCAAAAACCACTGAAACCAAACCCACAATTGAAAAAATAATTTACATGTATGTCATATTGCAAAAATTAGTTCAAGGTAGAGAGTGAACATATATGTGACAAAGATATGTTCGAGAGTCACGAAATGTAGGCTATCCTATTAGACAGCTATGAGCTGGAAAATGTTGATTATTCTGCAAGCGACAGTAATATCATTCATTGCCTTACATACTGGTATGGTGATTTATACATTTGTTTTTATTAGGTTGACTACTAGATTTAAGGACAGAGGTTTTGCAGAGGTCAGCTATAAGGCATGGAATGTATATGTTCGAAGGTAATATACAGCACCAGAAATTTTCTGGCCAACATCTATTTTCAAAACAATAATTAATTCTAAATTAATGATGCGATGAAGGTGCAGTTTGATAGTGTATATAGATTTACTGAGTAGCTTTTTTGTTTGAAAGCAGTTGGATAAGCATGATACTGTTTATTGAAAATAATCTGAAAATGTATAAAAATTTATTTACTTATTTTTTTTAGCATTGATCTGTCAGCTTTGGGTCCCATGCTGTCCCAGATCATTGTTTCCCTTCTGCCACTGCTTTACGAGCTACCGGCTCAAGTATCACAGCTTTTCAACTATTTGATTGTAGAGAACAGGTAAGAGATCTAAGATTTGAAGTATTAATGATAATTTTTTGGGGAAAAAGTGATAGGGCTCACTGTAAATATTCCGATTGATTTGAATGGCAACATAATATTAGAAATTAGGGTTGAAGTTATTCTTTGTTTTTTTTTTTTTTTTCATTTTAAATGATGGACTATGAAAATCATTTTGAAAAAAGTACTTTTATTAAATATCATTGTTTGTGTTCCATTTCTTAAGAAAGTAGTTTCTGCACTGTTTTGTTAATTTTGTCCATAATGTTTTGTTCAGGAATGCTCTGCTGTCTCATTTCTGTGAGCTGTCCTTCCTGCCAGACATTCCAGAACTGGTGGACATCAACGCCGTGCTGAAGAAATACACTGAAGGTTCTGCAAAGTAAGCTTTTATAGTAGTTCTGATTTGTAAAATTGTTTATATTCATTATATTGATATTTTGGATAATTTACAAAAGTTTGTATCTAGTGCTTACATGTTTATTAAGATCACTCCACATGTAGTATATCTTTTATATCTTTTAATGTATATTGTCTGTAAATACTAGATTTTTCTGATATAATTGCTATTTGATTGTATTTGTGATTTCTTCATTTTTTAGAAACCAAGATGTCCGCACCCAAATAGCCCGTGCTTTAAAGGGAGTTAGTCATGAGTGTCTGGATGTCAGACTGCTGGCTTTGTCCAAACTGAGACAAACACTACACAGCAATCAGGTAATGTGATAATAGGAACATTAATTTAATAAAACAAAATTTAAGCTTCTTTATAGAACGGAAAAGAGAAAGATAATTGTTTGAAAAATATCATCATTGAAAAATATCATCCAAGCATCATAGTGTGAGGTGGACTTGTTATTTGTTTGCAGACTGCTCTCCATGAGCTTCTTCTTGGAAATGAGACCGTGGATCCAGTTATATCACAGCTAGTGGCAGTGGTGAGTATTTAATATAGGAAGGAAAATCCTTTGCTCTTATTCTCTATGTGAATGTTTGATGCTTTATCCGTTACTCCTCTGTATAAGGTTTAAGGCAGTCAACATGGTTTTAATTAATTTTTCCTTATATAATACTAGAATGAATATTTTATGCCTCAGCGGTGATTCTAATTCTCAATATTATACTTGCCAAAAAGCTTCTTGACAGCTGCCGTGAGTCTGACTCATCTGCTAGGAACGTAGTAGGTGAATGCCTTGGTGAGCTGGGAGCAGTGGACCCAGGAAGGTGAGGAACAGTCAAAAATTACTGATGATTTACCAATATATTTTGTTGTTGACAATTAAATAGTAATTGGTTTATACATGATGCCTTCAAGGTGCTTAAGGGTCAGTTTTTAAAAAGATTTGGTTATGGTTGAAAGTGTCTGCTTCTGGATTTCTCAGACTGATAAAGATGAGTTACATAATATAATTATAGATACCAGTTTTCCGTTGAGAATTTGAGATTTTTGTCCTCAATTTGAGATTTTTGTCTTTATTTAGACTGGAATTTAAGACCAATGACCCTAAAGAAGAGTTGGCCAAGTTCCACGCCAGTGTGAATGAGATGAACTTTGCATTTGACCTGATCAATGAGTTGGCAAGGACATTCTTGGCTGCACAAGATACTGCACAGGTATGGGAAACTTTTGAAAAAGGAGAAATGTGAACTTGACCATCTTATGTTTATTTAATTGTATAATAGTTCATTGAATTAAAAAAGGGAAGTATTTGATTTATAAAGACAAAAAATAATGCAAATATTTGACATCCCCCGTTTTTTTCTCTTACCATAGGACTGTTGTTCCCTTGCTATCCAAGATGTTCTCCAGGCGTATGAGGTCAAGGACACTGGAGAGCCAGACCAACCAGGTGTGAAACTGTGGAGGCGTTTTTCAGAACATGTGAAAGAAATTCTCACTCCACTTCTTAAGTCTAGGTAAGAGGCATAAGTGAAGTTTAATAAGGGAACTGATATCTAATTTTTTTTGTATTCTTTTTTAGCCTGTTTAGAACACAACACTTTCTTTTGTCTTGATTTGATTGAAATTTAATGATGAGGAATTTATTTTTCATGTTCTAGTCCATATAGTCTAACATTTTAAGAAAACATAGACATTATTAAACAACTATATATCTTGCTCAACTGTATGCCACATTTTTTCATTAATTATTCTTTCTCCTCAGATATGTCCTCAATATGACAAACAGCTGGTCAAATTTACCACATCCCATCTATGGAAGTCGCAAAGGCAGCAACTTCAAGGAGTGGGTGAGCACTTGGTCAACAAGTTTGGTCTCAAAGGTAAGATCTTGTTTAAAGCCAATTTTTGCTGATCTAAATTTGTTTGGTAGATGCTGAGAAATGAAAGATTTAATCTGTCAACAGTTTCTCCCATCAGCTTCAGCAAAGTTTCCAGAAGCTCTTTGATGTTAACCTTCCAATCGGTGGAATTGTAAAAAACAACAAAAATATCAAAGAACAAGAAGAACAAAAATATTTAAAGATTGTATGATCTTTTTATATACCTACGTTGATTTCAGGTAAAGCTACCAAAAGCTTCCAAAGTGTTCCGAGCCTGCAGTGCAGTGTTCAAGCATGACACCCAGTGTGCCCTGTATCTGCTGCCACACATTGTGGTACAGGTGCTACTAGATGGAGATGCTGCTCAGCATCAGGAGGTATGCTGGTTTATAGTGGGGTAACAGCAATATTGAAAATAAAATTATCAAAATAATTATGATGATAAAGACACTTTGATCATCTGTTTTCTTGCTGAAGTTTTTTGTAACTGATGCTGTATCTTTCAAATTAACTGAGAATTGTGTGACTTTACAGAATTCCTATGTGTCTAGCTTTTGATTGTGTGTGTAACCTGTGTACCTTACTTTATAATTATTTTTGCTTATTGATTGATTTATTCATTCATCTGAACAGATATACGAAGAAGTGCTCTCTGTGCTGGACCATGTGAAGAAGCCAGACACACGTCAGGGTAGCGCCTCAGATTTCCGCCACATGAGTGCACAGACTGTCTTCTCAGTGCTGGATCACCTGACAAAATGGAAGAGACACAAGCTCCAGCACTTAGCACATTCAAGTCAGAGGGCTAAATCAGGTATGGTGCTGGTTTTTGAAAGTAGATATCAGCTGTTTTATTGTCATTAATATTTTAGAGAACTACTTGGGAAACTAAGATTTCAGAAGAAATAGGAGTAGGAGTGAATAGTTATAGTTTTAATCATAGCATTAAGTGCTGTTTAATTTTTGTGTAATATTATACAAGTGTATGTTTTCTCCTTTGCCTGAGAAACTGAAAAAAAAGAGAAGGAAAAAACAAGAAACAAAATTATGAAAACATATTGTTTCATGTTTTACTTTCAGAAGCTGATTATGCTAGAGATCCAGAATACCACAGTATCAAGTTGTTCCTGGATAAGATTCCACAGGACACCCTGGCAGAGGCTTCCTACAACTGCAAGGCCTACACAAGGGCACTCATGCACCTTGAACAATTCATCAAACCATCTGAACAGATAATGCATGAACATTTAGATTTCTTACAGGTATGTATATTGGTGAAATTTTTAGTTTTGTAAAAAAAGGCAATACTCGCATTTTCAATAATTTTTGTGTGATTATATGGTCTGAAAGTGACCTTGTAAACATTGATTAATGTCACTGTCATTTGTATTTTTTAAATTTAACATGGAAACGAAATGTCTACGTACATTATTTATACACATTATTGGTACAAAAATTTTCAAAACATGCTCCACTTCCAGAAACTGTATGTAGCCATGGATGAGCCTGATGGTGTGGCTGGTGTGACTGCCATAAGAAAGGATCCCCCAACTCTTACAGAACAAATACTAGCTCATGAAAGCATAGGTAAGAATATTGCTTTGATTTGTGAAGGAATTTTCATTATAACTAAAAGATTTATAAATGTCATGTTGCTTCTGCATGCAATAGAAATTTTGTGTGGACACAAAGATTACTTACTCTAATACTAGTAATAGTAATATGTTTCATATTTATTGTAATTTTTATAAAAATCTTAAAACTGAAAAATCATTGAATGCACTAAGTGTTTGCTTCTTGAGAACAAAATCGTAGGCCTTTTGTTGTATTCATTGATATGCACGTACTCACGCATGCACACACACACAAAAAAAAATTCCTCTTGTACAGGCCAGCTGCGAGAGGCAGCATCTTGTTACGAGAGAGCTATCCAGTTGGAGCCAGATGAAGTCAGCCATCATCAGGGCCTGATGAAAACCTTGATGGACCTTGGGCAGCTCAACACAGCTCTGGTGCATGCAGATGGGGTGCTGCATAGCAAGTTAGTACTGCTTATTAAAAGATGTCTTTTTTTTTTCAAAATGTCTGTATCAGCCAAGTAGCATAATAAATTGAAAGATTTCTGCCTACTAGACTTTTTATTGTGTTTGAGAAAAAAAGGAATTGAATGTTTTAATGAACTTCTGTCTCTAATAAGCACTTTTTAAAGGCAGTGATACATTTTTCATGTAGAGTATTTTACCAGTTTCCATATATAAATTCTATTTCAGGCCTCAGTGGAGTAGCAGTATCAATGCATACAGAGCCGAGGCCTCCTGGAAGCTGGGCAGTTGGGACAAACTGGAAACTTTCCTTAATGTGGTATGTGAATACAGAATTATCTATCTCTCTGTTAACACGTTCAGTGTTTGCCTAGGCTGATATCTTTCCCAAAACCCATTTTCCTCAATTATGTATTCCTGTAGCTATTTAACACCGGGGTTGTTGACATTGGTGACTGGTTTTGTTTTTATTTATTTTTTTTTCAGGAGGACAAACAGCAGAGCTGGGGAGTGGGCTTAGGGCAGGTTTTGTTGGCAGCCAAGTATAAGGTAAGCACAGCTGCTAATCTCTCAATTGAAAGAAAATTCAGAGAGCTTTTTGAGTATATCTTAAGTTTTATTGCACATTATACTTGTTTGTTTGTTTGTTTGTTTGTCAGATTTGTAAAAGAAAATGTGAAATTGAGGTGTGTATTGATTAAATTGCAAATAGTATACAAAAATATTCTGTAAATCATTGGGGTAATTGAATCGTAATGTTTTAATTGATAAATATGCTGATATGATAAACTATCAGACACGTAACATCTTATATTTCCAATATTTTGCAGAAAGAGAGTGAGTTTTTAGATCAACTTCGTGTCCTGCGTAGCACACAGATGGGGCCTCTGTCAGCTGCCAGTATGGAGAAGGGCTCATATCAAAGAGGATACGAATATATTGTCAGGTAAGACTTCTAGGATTTGCATTAAGAAAAAATGATATAATAGCTCATGCTTATGTGAACAAGAAAGTGATTGTTTAAATTATTTGTTTCTTCATTATCTCTAATAGCATTCATGCACACACACATATGCACATGCGCACACAGCAATTTTTTTAAAATTAAATTGTGCAACTTTTAATTGTTCTGTAGGCTCCATATGTTGAATGAAATAGAGCAGGGTGCCAGGACGCTATTACAGTTCCCACACACAGCAACAGATGGCACTACTCCCATTACTTTCCAGAAACTTCTCCCATACTGGGACTCCAGGCTGCAACTGGCACAAGTAAGTTTTGGTCTTTTTCTTTTTGTTAAAAGAAACATGATTTTTATTCTGCAGTGAACGCAGCTAGTTATTGTAATTATGACTGATCAACTGAATGTCTGTGAGGGATCACATGTGGCTGTAAATGATAATTGTTGTCAGTATTGTTAAACTGCATTTCATCAAATGTCAAGTTTTATTGTTGGTTTTCTGTATTCATGTTTTAAAAGTCCTTATCCTTATTTATGACTTTTTTCATTGCATTATCTTAAAAAAACGTTATTTGGGTTTATTTACATTTTACTCACAGAAATACACAGAAATGTCAAACAATTTGAAGTAATTCATTAAATGAAAACAAATGCCCCAAATGATAGACATTGTCTTATTTTCCCAGTCATCCTTTAGAGTCCAGGAACCTTTATTAACTCTGCAAAGGGTGATTTTACGTCTAGTCAACCAGGAGCAAGACGTGAATGTAGACAGAGACATCGGAAGATTGTGGCTAAGGAGTGCCAAGGTGGCCAGGAAGTATGTGTATCAAAATGGACTGTATACTAGATGGAATCGTGTTTTATAAAATAAGAGAAATCTTTAAAAGATTGCATTAATATAATTAAAAGTTGCATTTTTGAATCTGCTGAATTTTAAACAGTTTAGCATATTAGCACTTGCACATTTATTTGAATGGAATCATAGTTTCTGTTTGAAATACAAGTATCACTCCATTTGTGTCGTCCTTTTAATTGAAATTTTCAGAGCTGGTCATCTCCAGACGGCATACGGAACTTTGCTGAATGCCAGCGCCTTCAACCTGCCAGAGTTTTGTGTGGAGAAAGCAAAATGGTTATGGCATAAGGTAGTTAGAGCTTCTCAGTTTGATCAATCTTCTCTCTTACTATTAAAGATAATTGTATCTGATCTTTGATTTCATCATGTATTTCACAATGATATGAAAAAAAGGAAAAGAAAGAAAAATATGATTTTGGTTCTAAGCAAAAGCATAATTGTTGTATAGGAGAAGCAAGTTATAATATTGTTGTGAGTTATCTATCTAGGGTGACTATGACCAAGCCCAAAGTTGCTTGGAAAAAGGCGTGGCACAGTTCTATTCTGATAAGTCTAAGCTGAAGCAAGGTGGTTCAGAGGAAGCAAGAGCAGAGAGACTAGAGTTTGCAAAGGTAGATTTGATTTATTGAGAAAATAAGTTTCCAGTGGGTTTGTATGCAAAGAGTGGCAGACTGAATCCTAATTTTTTCAAATAGAAAAATGGTTTGTAAATTTGAAAATTTTATGATTTAGAAATAAACCAGATGGTTGATTGATTGTGGAAAGTGTTATTTGTGTGTGACCATCTGGATGTATGTAATGATAATGATCTTATTGAGCACAAAAATGTTTTACATTTCAAGTCTCTTACTACTACAAGAAAAAATATATATATATTTACAGTGTTATATAACATACATTATAAGAAGATACAAGTTAGTGGTTAAGACTCTACATTTGACACTTATCATTTGTGTTTTAACATTACCTTATTTATAAATAGGCAGAGGGTGGATTTATAATGATGTTAAGCTGTCAATTTTCATATAACATATTATTGTGTGTGCATTTTTATTTGTGTGTGAGCATGCAACCTGTGCATGTGTATTTAGGTGGATTGGTGTGTGCTTATTTATCAGTAGTGAACTACTTGTAGTGTACTTAATGGTTGATTGAGGAAGCAAGAAACAATTGAAATGACCTGTAACATCTATCTTGTGATAGGCATTGCTGCTGTATGCCCGCTATAGTGAAGAAACTGCCAGCATGGAAACCAATGCTATATTCAAGCTGTACAAAGAAGTGACTGATGTGTATAATGACTGGGAGGATGGTCATTTCTATCTGGCCAGATATTACGACAAAGTGATGACCACATTGGCTGACCCTGACAAACCTGAAAAAATTGGGTAAAAAGTCATTTCATTCTTAACTTTGTTTATTGTACTACCAGCGTAGACGCTGGCGGTACACATGGTTTTAGTCCCGACCTGCATGTTCCGCCTGCTCCTCTGGCTCCGCCGCCATCTCACCATTACCGCTTCTCCTCCTAGACAGTATGGGCCTCTGTACCCATCTGTTGGATTTAGGTCACCTATAATCTCAACTCGTTCCACGTAAAATATGGGCTTTGTCGGTGCTGGGGTCTAGGTGTGGCACTCACTGCAATGCACCCTTGTCCAAAAATGGCAAAATTAAATGCTAATTATCTACCCTATGGAAGGAATTATGGGAAAATTTTCTTTAGACGTGGACGTGAAGTCATGTGGAGATTTCAAATATGCTCTTGGATTTGACCTTTGACCTTTATTTCAAGGTCAAACGGGCCAAAATTTTCAAAAAGAATTTTTTTACGAAAAAAAATTATTTGTGCTGATATTCAGAAACTACACGGGATATCTTTCATCTCCATGAATTTGGGGTCAATCGGTGCATTTTCACGGGAGTAGCAGACATAAGATACCGAAACTGAAAACTGTCTCTAATTCGGGAACTGTTAATGCTAGAGACCCATTCTTTTTTGCATTTCGTAGAGCATGAAAAGCCCAACACTGGAGGTGGTCTCCGTTTTTTTGTATTCCATACGGTTTTCCAGTTATGCTGTATCAAAAAGTACATTGTGGTGGTGAAAGCAAAATGTGCAGCACAGTAATGTATAATTGAACTTGAATAGGAAGTAATACACTGGCAATCTGTGACCTTGAAATTGATCTTTGACCTACTTTTTATGATGAATTGTGTTTTGCATGTTTTCCGGCCTTTAAATCTGCAAAATTGGCAAAGAAATGCCCATGGTTACTATTGAACTTAAATAGAAATTCATATACTATGATATTGAAATTGACCTTTGACCTACTTTTTCACCATGAACTGAGCTTTGCATATTTTCTTGCCCGTTATTGCATAATCACTACATTATATGTCGCGACAAGCCATTACTATGTGTTGAAGAAATACTACGAAGGGTTTGGTATTCCGATAAGACACCGGTGCCACATGAACGTTATAGACAAGGAGATGACCAAGAATGATGAATTGGTGGCATCAAAACAAAAAATACATCTCTTTGAGAGTACAGGTAATTTTATTGAGCAACATGGTAATAATTGGTTTCGCACCCCTCCAGAAAGCCCCGACCTTAACCCTATTGAAAACGTATGGGCTGAAATCAAACATCACCTGCGTACGGGTGTTAAGCCTACCACGAGAGAACAACTTGTTGAAGGCATTAGAGAGGCATGGGAAAATATTACCGCATAAAAGTGTAATAAATTTATTAATTACATAAAGAAGTGATTCCAGCATGAATGAGAGAGAAGGTCATTCATCAGGCTACTAAACTAGCAACACATGTAATAAAGATAATGAGACATTGATATTTATTTGATATAGTAGCTATTTAAAATTTTCCATTTTAACTACGCTTGTGTCGTGACTTATTATTATCAAGTGAACCTCAAATAAAATTGTTATACATGTTTTAAAACTAAGCCCGATTTGTTCTTCAGAGTTTTGTTCTCATATTTGACGTGCATTTACTCTAGTATTCTGTTGCAGTTGATATAACATAACCCGGTATTGTTTGCTCGTGTCTATAGCAATCTTTTTGCATCAGCTATAATAGAAACCTTAAGTGAGGCAATTAATAAGGGGCAGAGCCTGTTCGTTGAACTGACTAATTTGGGTGTCCGATAAGGATTACTTGAGGATTCCCCTACCCTGTAATTATCATGTGGCCTCTATTGTTCGACCATACGGGGCAGGGTTGGGAGACCATGTGGCCATTTGGTAAGGGGAATTTCAGGCGGCACTGTATAATGTTAGATCTACCCCTTATTGTTGTTGACCTGCCTGGTGATGGATATCCTCACCGTTATCTTGAACTTGTACTGGGAGTTGTAGGTGAGCATGATGAAGATCATGGTATTGTGTAAGATTTACCGCTTGTTGCTGACCTGCCTGGTGATGGATATCCTCACCATTATCTTGAACTTGTACTGGGAGTTGTAGGTGAACATGATGAAGATCATGGTATTGTGTAAGATTTACCGCTTGTTGCTGACCTGCCTGGTGATGGATATCCTCACCGTTATCTTGAACTTGTACTGGGAGTTGTGGGTTAACAGGATGAACATCATGTGAATTTATGTCAATGCCATCAACTGCCATTGGAATATTAACATTTGTTGGTTGTGGTACATCAGGAGCATTTGCAACCAAAGGGAAAAATACTAGAATGATACTGAAGATAAAAAATATGGAGCTCTTTTTCATCAGAATGTTATTAAACTTGGTGTAACCTGGTGGATGTGGGTCATGAAAATAAATTTTTTCTTCTTGAAGTATGTCTGGTGATGGGGGCTTGGTCTTAAAACCCTCTGATGCTTCATCTTTGTCTAGAGCAGATCTTTGCTCTGACCAACAATTGATAGCAGAAGATTCACTTTCTTCATCTGGAGCTGACTTGGTCTTCTCCAGCAGAGTTTGTAAGGGGGGAGTGTTTTCCTTTGTTGGATTTGCAGCAGAATACTTCCTTTTATTCTTTAGAGATGGTGTAGTCTTTTTTGTCAGAGCAGCTGAAGAAGGAGTGTTATCCTGTTTTACATTTGTAATAGGGGATATATTTCTATCTTTGGGAGAGAAATCTGGCGAATTCACTGAGGGTGTAGCACTTTCATCAGATGTACTATCTCCATCTTTATCTGTAACTTGCTTTGGCTCTTTTAGAGGCTTATTTTGTCCATAGCTTTCAACTTTCTTTTTTCTCATTTCTCTTGTATCTTCCTTGAACTGATATGACATATTCTGAAATGATTTATCACTTCGTTACTTAATATCAAAGGGATAACAACTCTTCATATTCCACAATAAATGCATTGTGAATAACATATAGAATGTAATAAATTCCATTTTACCACCAAAATGGTGGTTATCCCAATTATTCTGAAATCTATACTTGCCATCAAACCATGTAGACCTTCATTGACAGCTACCCTCTGTTATAATGGCAAGCACAGATTAAAGAAAGTGCCCAAGTAACCCTCAGTTTTACTTTCAAGTCAGGTATCTGGATTTAACACTTTGTTATTAACATTACAAAGATCATGCATGACTAAGTTGTGTTTCAGGAAGAAGCCACAAGGCCACACACCATCTTAGATTGGCAACCATACTGCATAATGACCTGGTATTATTGAATTGAGGGTGTTTCAGTATCACAGAAACATTTCTGTTCCAATCAAACATATCTACGTACAATACTGAAAACATTTGCCAATTTAATTGTCACATGCACATATGCTGCTGGCAAACATATCGGAAAATGGGTACCATGGGGTCAGTAGGTGCAGGTTCTATATCCAAAATTACTACTGTCAGCAGCATTTTAAGCAGTCTGGCCAAGTTTCATGCTTCTATCACAAAAATGAACAATTATGGTGGATAACTGCCCCACTATAACCATGGATTTAAATTTATTTGTGAAACAGGGCTTGAACTAAAGTAGGAATATATTGCCAGTTTTTGTTGGTGCAAAATTAATTTACAAATTTTTATATTGTATAGCTATTATATTGTTTACTATTTCATTCTTCTTACCTGATCAGGAGAAGTGTAAGCATGATGATATTGGTCCCTGTACTCAGGATGGCCTACACATATATATCCACCTGTACTTGGTAGAATTACGTTCTCATCGTTGCTGGATAATACCAACATTTGCTAAGATAATAGAACGTGTTGAAAAGATTATATTGCTGTTGCCCCATTTTGCATATTTTAAAAAGCACCTTTGTTGTTAAGTATTTTACTTTTTAAATAGCTGTGGTGGCAGAAATTGTTGCAACAACAGATATATTTTGCATAAAAATATTTCTGAATTTATGATGGCAAAATTCCTCTTAAAGTACACAACAGTTCATGCTGTTATTTGTTAATGTACATACCTTTGCTTTTTTTTCATCAATTTCATTCCAAAGCTTCTTCTTTTCTTCATTGGTACTATTGTATAAAGGAGATAATTTGGGATATTATCTATTTTGAAAAAAACTATTGCAAATGATATAGAAATGATCATTTTACTACAATCCTGATATCTAGATCATAAGTCCCTGTCAAATACAGAGTATTGCTGATGTCAAGAATTTGAGAATTTGGAAGCAGTGAAAGATAATCAAATATAACATTTAAAAAACCATTCAAATGTCATGGAATCAGCTTAGTCAAAAATTTGATAATGGTCATGGTTTAAAGTAATTTATTGGGGAAAATATCAGTGAACACTAAGGCTTCGTTCACATGGAAAGTCTATTTTCTAAAAATCTATTTTCTATTTGCGGTATATCTTGTGATCACGGTCTGTGCCCTGAATATCTCGAGAATTAATTACAGCTTTGTATAAGTAACTGGCTCGCGCTGCCAGTAATTATGCCACGGGATATTCAGGGCACAGACCGTGATCATAAGATACCGTGAATAGAAAATAGATTTTTAGAAAATAGACTTTCCATGTGAACGAAGCCTAAAATGTCCAGAAAAAATTTCCTGGTTCTTCAGGTAATGATTTTTTTTTACTCTCTGATGTGACACACTAAATGGGTTGAAACTTCTTTACTTAACCAGTGGTACTCACTTTACTTCATTGGCATGTTCTTTAACCTGCTGCTTGTCTTCTGTCCTCAATTTTAAGCCAGAGGGACATAAACTTGATGTTGTCTATTGAAATAAAAAATGATGAAGGGTTTAAATTTTAGTAAAGTCAATATGTTCATTATGAGGCTATGTAGAATCAAACAGTTTAAATGAGCTGTCTGGGTAGATGAGAACAAATAAATTTAAAAAAAAAAATTTTATTGCTGTTACATAGCTGGTTACTTAGGTCTTCTCTTATCTGCATATGAATATTCATAAATTGCAGATCAAGTTCGAAAAACAGATTGATCAGCCCGTTTATCTATAAGGTAGTCTTTTTTCAGCTTTTTTCAGCATATCAGATGACAAATTAATTGGAAAAGCACTTGACCTATTGTCTCCAAACTTCCAATATTACTCAAATACAGGTCAAGTTTGAATACTAGCTTGATCTGATAGTTTTTCTTGAAGTTATTCAGTTAACTTATAGTTACTTATGGAGTTCTTTTCCTCTTATATATACCATAATTATCATTTTGGAAAAAAATGTTAATGTCTGGTGATGATATGCCAGTTTTGAGCTTACATGACTTAATTATCTTTGGCTTTCATACAAGTTAGAATCAAGAAGTAAATACATGATATATAAGTAAGCAGCTTGGTCTTTTGGCTAACATGGTTGAAACCACAATGGTAAAGTAGAAGACGACACCTTATCATCTTATATGTAGCGTATTATCTGTTGAACTAATATAGTTTTTACCACTCAAGAAGGTCTAGTTATTCTGTCACCACCACCTCCTCTCATTCTTGCACCCAGAGGTTTGTGTTATCTTCTTGAAGTATTTCTTACCTTTCCATCTCCAGTTTCTGTCATTGGTTGTTTTAATTGACCAGATGTATCTTGAGTTGGTATTACATTAGCAAGATTTTCTTTCAGTGCCTCAGGCTGCTGAGCTTCATATTCTTGTTGGTCAAACATGGTGTCTCTGCAATGAGCAACAATAGAAATGTATTTCTTCTGTGTTAAAGATATCTGCCCTGTTGAACTAAAATTAAGCGTGAAGTTTTGTGAAGTCAGTAAAGCAGTACCAAAATATTTTGACCTCCCGTTTTTGCCTCACTGGTCAGGTTTTGTCTCCAGATCCCTTCACAATATTTTCTTATATAGTTTTATGTCAGTTTTGCAGACTTCAGAAATGTTCTGTCAACTGAGCAATCAAGGGATATAAGATCATAAAATATTCTGATAATAATCAGTATGATACTGTATAGTATATACACATTCTTGTTACGAAGTTCTATCAAACAGATCATGTGTTATTGTGGGACAAAGTAGGTCATACCTTGTATGTCAAAAAGATTGAGGTTATTTATACTCTTAACTAGACACAACTGAATGAGGTTTTATTTGTCTTTGGTTAGTTTTCTGTTGTGCAACAAGTGCTATTGTGCTTTATCATCTAACTAAGATGGCAGGCGATTGCAAATGAGTTAGGAGATAAATATAAAGTGTAATAATAGTCTTTAAAACTGCAACATAAATATTTTTATGCCCCCTTTTTGGACAGAGAAGCAAATAACAAAGAAATCTTGATTCAAGCGTAATGTCATGCTTCACACTTAAATGATTAACTTACTGTTTAAAAGGTCTGAACCTTTTCTCTTTTCACCAAGACCGGAAGGCGTCTTTCAGCATAATTGCGCATGCGTTAAATGCCTAAATTTCTCCCAAGACAACACCAATCCTAGTCTACTATTTAATAACCTTGGATCATGTTCCCTTGTCACACATTAAAGAACTGTCAATATTAGCATAGACTGAAAATTGTTATTTATCAGATAAGCTTTTCCATCTCAGAGTCACAATAGTAAGTGGTATGAATGTGGGCGATACCGTATGCCAGAACAAACAGTATTTAATATAGTACTTACAACATTCAGTTTTTTTTTGTACTTGTACTTTAGAGCAAACATGATATAAATAAAGAGCCCTTTGGAATCCATTGTATCAGTAAAAATGCAAAAAGGGCAATTCATGTGAATAAAGTCAGAGTGAAGTACTGGGCAAAAGACCATTACATATCACGTACTGTAGTTTCATGTATATCGTATCAGGCCCATAGCCACAGTTACAAAAGGAAAGTTCTTTTTTTAAAAAGTGGAACATTTATCATGAAACCTTCATGTACCTAGATAAAACTTTTTCCCAGAAAAAAGGGGGGTTCTTTCAAACCCCTTAATCCCCCCCCCCCTTGCTACAGGCCTGCTTATAGTAAACAGTAAGCAGGGGCTTCTTGAATTGCATACACATACTGTATGTGTGTGCATTATTATCACAAATGGTATGAAGGTTTAAAGAAGAAAGTTGGTGGACGTATTTAAACATTTGATAGTATGATTAAATATTTACATTTTAATGAAGAAATGTAAGTATAGCACGCAAGGACTATATAGGTGTATTAAAAGTCAAAGAAAAGGCATGTGTTTTTCACTGGATCTTGGTTTATTCACATGGATTCACAAGACACGTAAAAACTAAAAAAGAAGAAAAGAAAAAGAAAATTACAACAATGTACTTACTAACGGTTTTTACGTGTTCAAATTTGCTTCTTCAAAAAAAACTTATACATTTCAATAATCACCAATAATAAATAACTAATCATCAATAATCAATAATAATCAATAAACAGTATTAAAACTCACCATTTCTGCCATTCCTTTAAACTATAAATTTCAAGTAGAAATAATGAATTCAAAAGTAAGAGTACTATGTGTTCCTCCTACGGAGTGCAAAACTCATGGGGTGCCACCCTGAATGAAAAGTTGTCATTTATGCAAATGAGTGCATTAGATGAGCCCGACACCAGGTTCCTCAATCACAACAAAAGTAAACTAAACCTTACAGTAAGCCTATTAATGTTTTGGGGATGTAGCTCAGGCCCTAGTTCCACAAAAAAAAAAAAAAACTGTCAGACTTAGTTGACTAGGTTTTCACCTAGGTGGTCTGCTTTTTTTTTTTTTTTTTTTTTTTTTGTATTCTGTACAGTTTTCGAGTTATGCTGTATCAAAAAGTACATTGTGGTGGTGAAAGCAAAATGTGCAGTATGGTAATGGATAATAAATTTTGAACTCGGGGGAAAATAAAACATAAGGCTTGGCCAGGCAGACAACTTCTGGTCAAAAATAACATTATTTCATGAAATTTGAACATCTGGAACTTCTGAGCACCTCCCATTTCAAGAATTTCAACCAAAATGACCTTTTCTTCATTTTAATAAATTTTTTCTGTAGGAAATCTATGGCACATAATTGTAACTACAAAATTATTACATTTAGTCCCTTATATCTCCAAAACTGGCAGAGATAGGTCCATAGTTACTATTAAAGTTGAACAGGAAGTCACATACTGGCAATTTAACTGTGACCTTGAAATTGACCTTTAACCTACTTTTCACCATGAACAGAACTTTGCAAGTTTTTGTTCCCTTTTATCTCCAAAACTGGCAGAGATAGGTCCATAGTTACTATTGAACTTGAATAGGAAGTCATATACTGGCAATCTAACTGTGACCTTAAAATTGACCTTTGACCTACTTTTCATCATGAATTGAACTTTGCACGAATGCGCTTACTCCAGCTGGTGGTACAATATCCAGAGGTGGTATCGCCTCTCTGATCCTCTAGTTTACAATTCAGCTTGTTGTTATTCGCACAAGTTTGAAAAATTGTCAAATTGTAAGACTTGTAAATTTTAACATCTGTTAGCAAGACAATGTGCTCCGTCTTCATTCATGTTCATTACCATGGGTTATGTTTCTATTTTAGCCAATTCATAGGCCATGTGATAAAGAATTTTGGCAACTCCCTCTTGTATGGCAGCCAGTATATCTATCAGTCTATGCCAAGAATGCTGAGTCTGTGGTTAGATCATGGTACCTCTGTCATGGAGCAGGAGAAGCACTTCCAGAGACTGCTGGACAGACGTGGAGGAACTGCTGCCAACACAAACCCACCACCTGCCCTGGTGTATTGTAGAAATAATTTACAGAACTTAAACAAGGTATGACTTTATTATCAGCAAATGCAAGTTTTTGATATTTTAATGCAGAATTTGTTATGACATTGAGGCGTGGCACAGTTCTTTTCTGATATTCTGATAAGTCCAAGCTGTTATAACATTGATGAGAATTCATTGGTTGTTTCCATTTAGCAAGACATGGTTTTGTTCTGTTTGCATACTTTGAAGCAAAAAAGGTTTATGACAAGACACACTGTTAAGTACTTGTGATATATGCACAATTATTTAAGGTGTTTTCTCTATTTTATTTTTCAGAGCATAAGTTTCTATAGAGAAAAGCTTGCTCCTTACCAGCTGTTGACTGCCTTCCCACAGCTCATCTCCAGAATATGCCATGGAAATGACGGAGTTTTCTCCGAACTTCAGGTATAACATTTTGAAAACTTTGTGAAGTGTATTGTTTAATTGTTTTTGACTTATTGTACATTTTATTCACACTCAGACAGATGCAAAAACCACAATTTATATTCTTTTTATGTTGAACTTAAACAATTTAGATACCTAAATATTTCATCTTCTCAAGGATTGCCATTTAAATTACAGACAATAGTGATGAAAATCATATAATGCATGAGAACATGATAATTTAACAACACAATTCAATTTTTTTTTCAATTTAAGCATTTGTTTTCATATTATTAGTTGTAAATTCACTTTTTGAATATTATTTCTTATATACATAGGAAATGATGGCCCACTTAGTTGTTCACTTCCCCCAGCAGGTCATGTGGATGATGATGGCAGTGTCTAAGGTATTATATACATATTTTATATATTCCTGATTATCTAAGGTAGTTAATAGTTGTTTACTTGTGATATAGTAAAACATCACTGAGTACAGCTGCACAGTGACAATCCCATGTTGAATTTGCAGTTTTTCAAGAATGACTTTAATATTCATTAAATTTTTTAAAACAGTCAAAAGATAAATGAATAAATTAATTTTCAAAATGATTAAGTTGATGACTTCAAAGGGTGAATATTGAAAGCAATTTATGATTTTGACTTTCAGTCTTCCTATCAAGTCCGTGCCAGACGATGTCAGTCCATCCTTGCCAGAGCAAAGTATGTCTATAATACTTGTATATGCACATGTTGTAGTGTCAAGAGTTTTTTATTATTAAAACCTTTGTTATTTAAAGCATATTTCTGAAGCACTAAAGCAGTGTGTAAAGACCTATGTTTCACTCTTCAGATCATTAGTATTGAACTTCAATGTTTATTTATAAGAATCATTCATTGTTTTACAGAGAACTGAATCCGTCTTTAAACAAGTTTATTCAGGTACTGTAACTAGTTGTTAATGTAAAAAATACATGCTACCAGCTAAATAATGTTAAAGGAACCAAGTTTAAAAAGTTATACAATATTAATCTTTTACAAAAAATTTCCTTTTTGTAAAAAGTGAGTTTTTATTGGTACTGTCTTCAAGTCAATTATATCTTGTTAACTTAGTTTTCCAGACAGACAAAAGTGGCAGTTTTGCTCTGTGGTTTTGTTTCAGGATGCCACCAAGTTGTCTGAGAGGCTGATTGACCTTAGCAACAAAAATGTTGGTGCACTTACTCTTAGCATCACTCAAGACTTCCGTTCTTTGAAAAGACTTCTAGATGACAAGTAATTGTTGATTTTTTAGCATTTACAGTAGAATTCACATGTATAATAGCATACTTGTTTGAACTGGCTATTTTATCCATCATATGCACATAAAGCTTTCTTTTGTCTGTAAACAGGACTTCCAGGTTCAGTATCTTACATGTGAGTGTCTTATTTGTGCTAGGCTGTTGTGTTTACTTTTGTTACGTAAATCTATTTGGCAATGCCATATGTACATGTAGAATGCACTCTCATATTTGTTGTATTTGATAAAGTAAAATCCATATATGCAAAAGTCTATTACTTTTTACAGAAACTTCAGCCACATCCTCCTTCCCTTGCAATCCTCCATGACTGCCACTCTGCCTGCCAGTCCAGGAAGACATGTAGATCATGACCCTTTTCCCGGTCAACTGATTTATATCACTGGCTTTGAAGATGTGGTAAGACTTACTTGCATTACATGATTTTATTTTTGAATCCATCTTTCAAGTGTTGAAGTTTGATTCAGTAAGATGAATTTTCTAAAATAAAAAAGGTAGTCTACTCAGCTGTAAATTGAGTTACTGGGTATATATTTGTCAGATTGTGTATGATTCAAGATATAACTTGACTGATGCTCTAGTATAACTTGAATAAACATGAACATATATTGTTCTTAATTTTCAACACAGGTCTTTGGGGGCTGGGATTGCTGCAAATGTATTGGTTGCAGATTGTTAAGAATTTAGTTGATTGAATAGGCTACTTGTTGATATTTCAGGTGGAAGTTCTGAATTCTCTGCAGAAACCCAAGAAGGTTACAATAAGAGGAAGTGATGGTGCAATGTACACAATGTTATGCAAACCAAAGGTAGTGTTATATTGTTAGTCTTTTAATTGTTTTATATTGTATACAACAAGAATTGGAGAACAAAGAAAATAGAAAAGTATTTTGGTAATATCTTGTACTGTTTTATATGTTAAAGATAATTTGATTTTTGTTTAAAAAATTATTGTTGATTATTTTAAATGATTACAGGATGATTTACGCAAAGATTGTCGCTTGATGGAATTTAATGGAATTATAAATAAATGTCTGCGCAAGGACCCAGAATCTAGGAAAAGGCAGCTGCATATTAGAACTTACGTAAGTAGTGTTTTGTTTTTTTATATCATTAGAAAGCATTAAATGTATATCGTGTTAAAAAATAACTTCATGTGGATGCAATTTGCTCAAATGTCACAATTTTTGAAAAAAAATACACAAAATTAATATCTTTAACAATAAATAGCACATTTCATTCTAATGAAAAAATGATGAACACTTCATGCAGGCTGTTGTTCCCCTTAACGAGGAGTGTGGGATCCTGGAGTGGGTTCCTAACACACATGGACTGAGGAACATCTTGTTGAAGATCTACAAGGAGAAAGGCACCTACATGGGAGGCAAGGAGCTGAAGGCCTGCATGGTGCCAGTGAGTGCACCCATTGAGTGAGTGTTGTCTGGATCCAGTGGGCACTTCCAGTATTTTCAGTTATCTTCTCTCATTATTTTATAAACTTGGAGATACAAATTATTTATTTATTTTTATTTATTTTTTGGTAGGAGGAGTAATACTAGCTGATGTTTAGATGGGATTTGATCCTAATTTCTTTGTATTCAGCTCTTTAGCATTTAGAACCATTTTGTTGTAAAAGTGTATTTACAAAATCCAAATAGCCCCATTGCCTAATAGACAATGTAATATTCACAGGCAGAAGATGGATGTTTTCAAGAATAAACTGCTTCCAAAGCACCCTCCAGTGTTCAGTGAATGGTTTCTCAGGACATTCCCTGATCCAACAGCTTGGTAATTATATAATCTAGATGGTTAACATTGCCTTCTTCCTTAACAGTGATTATAACATGCTGACAGTTAAGATTTTTTCATAACAAAAAATAATAATAATCTCAGAAGTTTGTCTTGCTTTCCATGGAATATTATTACCCCATTAGAAACTCTGACACATTTTAAAAATTTTTTCACACTTAAACTCAGATAATTCCTGATATTTTACCTCCACTCATGCATGCTTTTATACAAATGGCAGAATTCAATGTAAAAGAGATAAATGTTCCATTTGCCACTTCAGGCACATGGCCCGCCTGGCGTATGCCAGAACTACTGCAGTGATAAGCATGGTGGGGTACATCCTTGGACTGGGAGACAGACATGGAGAGAATATCCTCTTTGACTCTACCAACGGAGACACTGTACATGTGGACTTCAACTGTCTTTTTAATAAGGTTTGTAACTATTGTTTTAAAGCTATATCATTAACTTACTGGGGCTAGGTGTTAAGGTTTGCCTGGGATGAGATTTTTTCGACTTTTGGGAGCAAAGAAACTTTTTCACAAAATTACAGTCTAATCTCTGGTTTGATCAATCCAAATATGCAAACTGTTAAGTGTGAAGAATGCCAACTGTTCAATGGATTAGCTGTCAGTGAATGGGTTCTTTTTTAAAATTTTTTCAAGAATGACATTAAATTATTTGCTTCACTGTTCAGATAAAAAAATGTATTTGATGAAGTATTGATAATTTTCCATTATTTTTCATCTTCAGGGTGAAAGCTTTGAGTGTCCAGAAGTAGTTCCATTTAGACTTACTCATAATATGGTAGATGCCATGGTAAGTGGTATAACTTGTCCATCCAGTAATATTCTCTTAATTCTCTGTCTTTTTGATCTCCTTATAATCATTATTAAAAAAGTGACTCAAATGAAAGAATTTGGTTTCACCGTCAGTTGATGTGAATTGCTTTGGTTTCTTTACAAGAGGATAACCAGCAGAATTGCCTACAATGCTCTAACCTCTTGGTCATGATTTTGAAACATTTTAAATATTTTCATTTTTTTTCATCCAAGGGTCCAATGGGGTTTGAGGGAATCTTCAGGCGTGCTTGTGAGGTGACTCTTAGAGTTATGAAAGACCAGATGGATCCATTGATGTGGTCAGTGCATTCTAAATTATTTTAGGAAAAAGTTTATTTGATGCTCAGTTTAATGTTTAGTTGATTTTTAATTTTTCAGACAAGTTTGTTTATGATTAAAAGTGAATTGTTTCTAAATAGACTAAACATGTTTTCTACATAAGAGGCATGTTTCTTTCAAAGTGCTTGATGCTGAATACATATTGACCACATTTATTATCTTTAGTAACAGTTTACTTTTATTTCACATGACAGATTGAAAAACCTATGTCAGATGTGCTTTTAACTAAGGCGTCCTTTTTATACCCAATGTTCAGTTTTTGTAAAGTATTGAACACATTAGATAACAGCAACTTTCTTCGGTTTTCAGTGTTCTGAAAACATTTATATATGATCCTCTGGTGGAATGGAGAAAGCCTGCCAAAGGAAGAGCCAACCCTTTAGAAAGTGGAGAAATAGCCAATGAAAAGGTGATAATGAGTTTGTATCTTAAAACTGAATAGCTGTTAAAGAGGTAAAAAAAATCAGTGAAGGAGTGGGATTTTGTAAAAGAATTATTTTAATCATGCATGAAAAATTACCTTAAAATTCATTGTTACTCACTATGAAGTTTTTATTTACTTTAGGCCACAGCTGACGTTCAAAATATTGAAGCCAGACTGAAGGGAATTTTGAAAAATAAGAGAGGTTTGCCGCTTTCAATAGAAGGTCATGTTAACTACCTTATTCAGGTAATTGAATGGCAAACATGATTTTTGATTTTCAACTACCGAGTTCCAACTTCCTTTCTTTTAAGCACAATTTTTCAAGTGCTTGTGAAATTTTTAGTTCGCCACATTGCATTTATTCACTTTCCTTACACAGTCAAGAGTTAAGTGTTTCATTGAATATCATTTGATAAAAATATTGTAAATGCATGTTTTTTTTTTTTTTATGAAAATTTTTATTTATAAACAAAATCTTTTTTGAACATCTAAATTTTTTATTTGACTTTCATTTGTTAATTTTGTAAATTTTTGTTTCAGGAGGCAACCAGTGAAAAGCAACTATGTCAAATGTACATTGGCTGGGCATCATATTTATGAAAATATCTGGAAAAATTAAAAACTAACAGACAAAATTTTCAAAAAACACATACATACAGATATTTGTCACTGACACATGTTCTAGTTACTAACTCAGGTGATATGTTACTGTTTGGAAGAGCAAATGCTTACAGAGTGACATCATTTATCGATTGTGCTAAGCTCAAAACATCCTGGACTGAAGAAAAAAAAAAAAACAGCAAGAATTTTCCACATTGATGGAGTGAACATGTTTGTCATAAGGTATTTTCTCAAATATTATGTTGGAGAGAAATAAAGTCTCGGGTGACCAGTCCATCCACAGGGGCGGATCCAGAGCTATTTATTGACAGTCTTCCAAATTATCTTTGTTGATTCATCCTCCAATTTTGACCGTCTTCCAACAGGAAAAACAGATGTAAGCAATGTAAACTTGAAAATCTGACCGTCTTCCCGGCTCTTCCAGAAGACGGCCTAAATCTGCCCCTGCATCCAGGTTACTTACCAAGTGAAAGGTCTCAGGTTCAGACTGCAACGTCATGTGCCATGTTGTTCATGTTAGTTCCAGTATCAGAGTTATTCATATTTATCATTATACATTTCATCTTGTGAAAGCTACAGAATGTTGTAGATGTGAAAAATTGGTTTATTATAATAACAGATCATAACTTAATGATAATGGTTATAAATCAATTTTCACAAAACAGAAATAAACCACTGAATACAAAAAAGAAATGATATAAGTGTTATGACATAAATGTACACATTTTGTGAAAAGACTTCTTAAAGAAATACAGAAATACTTAAAAAAAAGGAAAAAAACAGTTACCCTTGTCCATACTGTGTACATGTAATATGCATCAGTGGAGTAAAGAGAAAGAATTTCTCAACACTATTGCTTACTGCTTGCCATAAAGAAAGGGGGCGCTACTAGTGGCAGTATGCAAAATGTATGCGAGTGAGGAAACGATGTTTCAATACTGCTTTATATTTGTGATCTTGCTACCAATATCCAAAAGTTATCAACTTTCTTAAATGAAATATGGCCTATTCATGTTTCACAATTTTTTTTCACCTGATTTACAATCAAAAATTTTCTAAATAACGTTTCATGTAGCAAAATGCATTAATCACATAATTTGAGATTAATTATTTCTTTTTAAAAAAATGAAAAGATTTTTTTCAAACGGTTATTCCAATTTGATTTGACTGCGTACATGTAACTTCAAAGAATGTGTGGGCTCACTCCCAATGGCACTATCGTTCTACATAGATCGATCTAACTATGCGGGCACTTGCTGAATTGATCAGAATAACGCATTTCTTGGTGTTGAGAAGAAAAGTGAGTATGTGGTGTGACTTATATGTTGGGAACAATAGGAGGCGTGTTAATCTGATTACATTCAGTGAGTGCACCCATGGAGTTGGATCGATCTATGTAAAACGATAGTTTTATTGGGAATTAGCCCATTTGGTACTGTATACACCCTGTGTAACACAAGGAAGATAAGTTATACTTTTATAACTGTTTTAACATGTGTGCTTGATCAATCACTGTGAAGAAAACGAAGAAGGCGGTGAATTTTTTCCTACAAACCATCAGTGAATTCCCTTCCTTTTAATTTCTGATGGAAGAAAAATACATTCAAATGACCCGCTTCACCTGTGCAGTGAACCGCCAGCAGGTGCTTTATTATTGCGCAGATAAATAGTCCGCACGATGAAGAACACCACAGCATATAACAGATGATGCCATATGTGATATTGTTTTACTGAATGAGTTAAAATACATTATTTTATGCTCTGTAACTGATAAACTATTTTCAAATATCTTTTCACGTTTATGATAAATACATGATGTTGAGTCATCAATGCACTGCACTGCTTGGGGCTTTAGTAAAATTCATACGCTCAGCTAATTTCAATATGGCGTATTTAGGTGGGAGGCAGCTGCAAATCGCAGCGTGCAAATAAACACTTTGTCGGTAACAAGCTTGCACTCGGTTTAGCTATGGATATGATTTTACCAAGAAGAACTTGAAGTTTATTTTCAAAAGTGCATAAAGGTATATTTGGTAAGTACACGATGTCTTTCCCATGTTAACAACAACACTGGGACAAGCCACTGGGACACTGACATGCTGTCTTGTTCCATCTACGACATCCAGCAGCAACTATTGCTACGTTTGCATGTCGTGGGTGTATTCTGATGGTACTGGCAATGGCGTGTAAAAGTGGATTCTTCACGACACAGAAGCCAATTCGATAAGCCCTGGCTATAATATAGACCCGCGAAGAAAGATTTCGATATTCTCAGTTATATTATATTGGGATCCGTAAGTTGTAGAAGTGCCTATAGCGATATTTATGTTGAGGTGAGTGAAAATGTGTGGTGGGTACTGTGTTCGGAAGTATTTCAATATTGCTTACTCATATTAGCATAAATGTGATATTTTAATACTAACTAGTAAATAGATCGACATACCTAAGACACTTTGAACACAAGATATGTTCAGCACCATCCGACCCATAAATTGGCTGAAGATGTTATTTACAGAGTATACAGGCTTAGTTTGTTGTCTGTGAATGACTGAAGATGATAATTGTCAGTGACCAATGTCAGACTTGACATTCCTGTTTCTTGTATAGGTCAAATTTCTCTTTCTGTGATTGTAATCAGTTACTTTCTAAAACTCAGATGACTTCTTAGCTAGGTAACCACGTATTAATTTATATACCTAAAATAAATACAGTAGACTACAAACTCAGTGATGTCAATATGAAATTTGTAAGTTATAATGAAATAAAATGATATTTATATCTTATATTTCACCATGGTAAAACAGTCATTTGGACATCAAGTGTGTTTTTAAGTGACAGTGCTTTTATTGATTAAATAAATCTAACACCGAGACATCTTGTGCTTGATAAGTTGGGGCAGTGAAATCTGGTTAATTTGTAAATCTGGCATGATATTGATTTGCATGGTGACAAACTTTTTCTCTGTGTGACTGTACCATCTGGTAACCAGGAATAAGTTTCCCTTTGTCCTCTGTGCTGTGTTCCTTTCAGCATCCAGAAGCAGCATTCACTTCGGAATACTTGTATTGATCATGTATTGATTAAGAATACAATAGTGTGACTTATAAAAGGTCCTAGGAATAATAAAGAGCCAGAGAGTCATGTCAGATAAATCCTCTAATTCATATTATTATGTCTGTGATGGAAGTGAAAGTTTTATATGATAATCTGGGTGTTAATTTGATGTGATCATGAGTGATTGCCCTTGACAAACAGTCTGGTATTGGCTATTTTGCCATGCCGAGCTATGTTATTTGTTCAAGCAATTGTTCTGTTAATTCAAACATGTGCGGTGCTAAGTGAGGTCTGTCTGGCAGCTGCTGAATATGGATGTCCATGAGAATTCATTAACGATATACTGGAGATTCTATATATAATTTCTGATAATAAAATCTACATGATGTAGACTTAATCCTCTTTGAGATGTTTATCTGAAAGTATATTTTATATACATTTTCTTGATGAAGTTATAATTACCATGCATTTTCTCATTATAAGTGATCACGAGGGTATTAGGATAGGTGGAATATTTTAATGTGTTTTAATCAGGGGAGAAGAAAAAGGAACAGGATTGTAAATATAACCTTCCTCAGGACATTAACAATATATGCCTGAAATACTTCATCTGTAGGTGTTCTTTAGAATGATTCATGTCTAGTGAAAATAAGAGGATAGGCTAAGGTACAAAGGTATACCCAGACAAATGTCCCAGTAGTGCTTTTGATAAGAGACTGTCTTCCGCAACCACAGGATTTCCCAGGCTTCGGTACATATTATGACACATTCTTTATGATGTAACAGATAGCTGTGACACAGTGAGTTACTCAGGTGAAATTCGCAACGGTAGTATTTCAATAATGAAAGGGGAGAATTCTACAGGGCTGTTGAATTTGATCCCCGAAGGTCCACATTAGTTTCTCATCTCTCCATTGTGGTCTTTGGTGTATTCATTACATGTGGGAGGGGGTTGGGTCTTTAGTCTGCTACCTGCAGCTGGTTTTATAGGTGCTAATCTTTGGTTAGAGCACTAATCCACAAGCCACTAACAGTCTGAGCATAGCATAAGCTTTTCATTCTCTATTTTAGTAAGAAAGTTTTAATCCTATGGTGATAAAAATGCAGGTAAGTACAAAATGAAAGTCTGACTCTAACATGGGCTCCTACCAGGGCTTTTCCCAGGATTGGGGGTACATTTCATCTAAAATTATCACCTCAAATTTCCTACAAAATTTCAGGGAGTCCATATATCATTTTTCAAAAAATTCATAAGCAGTCCAGCTGTCCAAATGACGGCTGGAGGGTTCTCTGGGAAAAGCCTCCTACTGATAGCTTGTAGCATGTGATTACATTTAGGATTGTCGGTCCTCAAGTCCTTATATCCCCTGTTTGGATGTGCAGTTTGTGCAATGTAGATGGCCGTAAGAGGCTGTCAGTTTACTCAGGTAAGTAGCTGATTTTTTTTCGGCATGGTTGAATTCCATTGAAGTCTTTTTCAGCACAGTTGAGTTTCATGCTCTGGGGGACTTCAGTTTCAGCCTGAGAAAAAAGTTAAAACACCAACGGAAATATAATTATGAATTATTTATCTGCTAATTCACCTCTTAGCCCTCCTATTTTGTTGCAACTTATTCACATACAAGTGTATACTAAGAAGGTATAAATGTGTTGTCTCAGTTACAGCGCAATAGCACCTGGTGTTAATGTTGCTTGTAGCCTGTTTTTGGACCTTTTTTTTTTTTTTTTTTTTTTTTTGTCAGAAGCGGAGCTGTTCTGGGGATATCCCCTGTCTTATGCTAGAATTTTCCTCTGATTTTTTTTTGTACATTGGGAACTCGGAAAACAGTCATTGTTTCTGCAGAGCATAGTTGGACATTTGGGCTATGTGTCAGCAACTATAGTATATGTCCGATTTGTTTGAGGTGTTGTGCAGATATCCAAAGCCATGTAGG